ACCAGATGCAAACATCAGTCTGACAGGGTAATAAAGCTGAAATGGAAACACTCAGTACCACAGCAATGTAGTAGGATCAGCAGAAACACGTGATCCAACTAGCGCCGACACACATGTACAAGGAGGTAAACATGCCAACACAACCGTTTTCTGTGCCACGCATGCATATTTAAGCTTTTAATGAACACGGACTCGTCTTCGGAGTGATTCATTAGCATCAGGCTTGTTGTAACTGGAAGAATAATGATGTGTTTGGCTGTCAACATGCCCAATCTGTTTGCCTCTGAACAGTAAAACTGAACCCCAACCCAGTCCACCCCACCTCAGCCAGCCTCAATTTGGTATTTCTGTCCTCAGATAGATCATTATGCAGGTACACCACATGGTTGCCGTATAATAAGATGTTTTCCAGGTGTGGTGGATCAACTCTGTGTGTCTTCTATTTGAATTTCGTGTTTATCGCCATGCTGCTCGCACAGTAGATTACTGGAATGCATCCATTTGATGACAAAATGGAAAATATGTGATTAGGACCCAAATGAGACAGATGTTCCTTCCTGGTAAGAGGCTAATTGGTGTCACAAGAAGTTTAAACTGTACTAAAGAAGAACTAAATGCTGAGAATTTAAATAGGACATGTAATTTATGCACAATAAAAGCAACTGATATTGTTTTAATTGAAAAGTTTATTGTGTTTTTTTCCGACGGTGATTGCATTACGGGTCCACGCAGCAGAACTGCAGGTGTATGTGTGCATGTGCTCTTGCAGAAACCTGGCCTGAGGCGTGTTGTTTGAGAGCCCAGCAGTGTTTTAGAGCAGAGCCAGGTCCTAACCATGTTTTTGGGGCCACAAACAGGGCTCCGGCATGTGAATCTGATGCTTCTCCTGGACCTCATGGGGAATAGTAGAGTGGCTTATAACAGTTGCTTTAGGCCAGAACCAACTGCGCTTTAAAAGAAATCAATAAAACCTTAAAATATATTCAGATGCTGCAAACCACAATTGCAGTAATGTGATTTTGTTGTGTAACAGAGCTGCTGCTACATTTTGATGTAAGCATTACAGCTGTGTGGTCCAAACATCTGTAGATTTAATCATTTAAAACCGGAGAGACCAGCTTGTACGTCTCTTTTCTACCATTTCTGTCTTATTTATGTTGTAGTTTGACAGAAGCTTGATATATTTCACCATCTTAACTTATATGTGCATCAACTGCGGCTAACACTGTAATAAATGACTCCGTTTCTGTGTTTATGGATTATTTGTCCGGACAAATGCATCAAAAATAGAAAGCCAAATAAAGCCTTTAATCCAGAGAAGCCCCACAGAGGACTGAGCGTTGAAGAAATGGCATTTTCCATTGTGACAGAAAGTGTGTTATAACAGCTCAGCCAATTAAGTGCTGTGACCTTCATGCCTGTCCCAAACTTTGGAGCAGTTCATTAGAAATGTGTAGTCTACACCGCAAATGACTGCACTACAATGTAAAAGTAATGAAACACATCTCTCACCTGTCTCCTGTTGAAGAGGGATCAATGGTTAATCTAATAGCAGATGTGTCCGCTATTGTGTAACATCATCAATCAATCAAGCGGTTTTCTATGCAAACATTTTGATCAATTAGAAGCATCGGCAGCAGCTCTGATTATTGCTATTTAAGGGATAAATTCTCCCATTTAAGGAGCTGCGGTATAGGACTAAGGGAGGAAAATGAAAAAGATAAGTGCACCACAGATGGCTAGTCGAAACGTGAGGAGAAGAAGAATCATGAATCACTTGCTCCGGGTTGCTGAATTATACAAACGTGAGCTCGTAGAGAGCTATCAGTAACCGTATCTGTGTCCAGAAGTGCATTAAAGAAAGTGAATGTGCTCTTAAAGCTGCTAAAATGAAGAAGAAGAAGATCCCATTCAGAAAACAGACGCTTTATGTTCACTATCTGAAGGTCTCGATTATGCTTTTGGGCGCTACTTTTGTGATTTAAGTCAACTTTTGTGTTTAATCACACACCACTGGCCTCAGCTGAGGAGCACAGGTATGTTTAACCACCACATGATGTCACTGTTTTACATTAATTATAGACGGGGCACTCATTCAGAGAGAGTACTTAAAATAGAAGTGTTTCCCCCGAAGATTGAGAGCAAAAAATAGACATCAAAAACACTGGCAGGGTTCAGTTTAACATTTTTATCTGTCTCCAAGTATAAATATCTATAATTTCAGGCTTATTTTGTTACTTTTACACAGCAGAAAACTCCAATCTTGGCGTGTATTTGTCTAATTTCTTACAAAAGTATCTTATTACGCTTAATAAAAGCCACACCGTCCTGCAAGTCAAGTTATAAATGTGATTCTGATGCTGTTACGAGCCAAAATCAAAATCCTCATCTGCTGTAATGAGTGAATACAGTTGCCAAAACGTCAAGCACAATTGTCCGGATGAGTTTAATGAAACAAGATGTAAAAGTTATTTCAGGTAACGAACTTAGAGGATTCTTCTTGCTGCCATTGGCATCCATTTTTACCCATTAAAATCAATTAAGGCCTCATTTTTGGCTTTGAAAGAGATTTATATCAGGACTCGTCAGGTCAATGTGGCTTTCATTAAGGGGAATGAGAATCTACGATAAGAAACTAGAAAAATATGCTTGTCAGTTTTTGCTGTTGTGTTGTACAATTTGTTACATCTGCAGGCAAACAGCGAGGTGCACGGCGGGTCACTTCCTTCAAAAACACAAAACGTAGGTCAGGAAGGATGCATTTCAGGTTGTTCTTTTTTTATTTTAACTCAGAGTACAAGCAATGCATTTCTAAGAGGACTAGGTCAGACTCAAAACGAATAAAAGAGCAACAGTAAAAGCGAGAATTTCTATTAGAAGCAAGACTAAATTATTTGATTTTGCCAGTTTATGAAATACTTAAAAAGTCCCAGCAATTAAAAACTTCTGAAATAAGAATGCACAGCCCTTGACAATGAGAGCGCTGTTTGGAGTGCACTTCAAATTAAGAGCTCTTTTGACATGACGTGTGCAGTCGCAGCGGTCGCTCTAATTGCAGCAGCTGAGTCACGATCTTTAAAGATAAATTTATACCTGAGTATGTTTTTTTCCCCGCTGGTGAGGATCTTAAAGGTGCACACACTCTCTAGAAACCTCAGTGTGCCCTGCTGCCGCACACGTTCACACACTGCAAGCATACCAGGGGCCACAACCCCCCATATTCACACTCTGTATTAGACACACGCACACGCTCACATGCCACTGGACTCACTGTAAGGGTCAGCCAAAGGGTGCATGAAGCAAAATAGTCATTTTATGAGCAGACAGCAATCTAGAGGTGCAGGAATTTGTATTGAGAGCAAAAACAAAAGAAAGTGTGGCGTGGGTGGACTTCTAAAAACTTCTAGATCAAAGGTTTGAAGCACAGAGGTGCTAATTATGCTTTTCTTCCACTGACAGATATATTTTTCCATCAAATCATGTATCTCACTTTAGTGCGCTTTAAAGGCTTCAAAAGCTCCTCTATGTTGTGTTACTCAGGGATCAATCCTCGACTCTATAGCGCGCAAAGTGCAAAACACTGTGCTCAGCCTCCAAGGAACATGCTGAGGTGTTGTAATATTAGCTGTGATGTTAGCAAGCATAGCTGCTAATGACAGGGGAGGATGAGACCACGAGGAAAGTGGGTGGTGTGAACTTTCGGTTCTGTGCCAAAGTGCTGCCGGCCAGGGAGAGCAAGAGGGGAAGCCAGGCTGTAAATAAGCAACTGCAACTGATATTCAGCTGCAAACAATACTTGAATGAGATCCAGAGAGGTGGATTTGCAGTCACAGACAATATGACAGGTTTGAGATCTGAATTTAACAATAAATAGAATTAAACCAGAAAAATTGTAAAAGGTTTGAGGATGTAGTTTGTTTTTGTTAGCCGACTACCAGCACTTTTTTATTTTTTTAATAATGTAAGTCGATCAAAAGTTGTGTATAAGCCGAAGTTTTCTTTAGTGGGAGTGATATTTCAGATCGAAGAGGAAACAGAAGGTCACAGCCCTTCTGTCTTAACTTTGGTGTATTTACACAAAAGTCTTCTGGTTCTGGCCCTTGATACACTTTCTGAATCCTCTAAGATTTCCTGTACTTTGCCACACTTTAGAGCTCCTCTCCGGCACCCCCTTTCCCTTACATCTTGTGTTTTATAATTCTCTTTATTTTTCTGATTTACTTCTTCACTTCTCTCATGTTTGTTTTTTACCTAGTCCCAGTACATCTTTGACTGTTTGCTTTTCCAGTTCGAGTCTGTGCACAAGCCGTCCTCGTGCCAGGAAATGTGCTTGCTGGTTCATTGCGGCATTGGGTATATTTATCAGCAGGCAGCTGTGGGAGCAGCCATAAAGATATTGCACATTCATTTATTTGCATCTAGTCTTTGACTGGCTTAACACATTAGCCCATAGTCCCCAAATGCTTATAGCACCAATTAGTAGGAAAGGACTTTAGGCTAATGCTGCGTTTGAATTAACTTATTGTTTTTTTTCCGTCTCTGAGGAAATTAATACATAAAAGTAAGCCCCCATGTTAATACCTCTCTTTTGAGACAGTATGTTTGAATACTTCTCCACAGTTTATCCTTCTTGAAGAAAGTCACAGACAGCATTCTCAGTAAAGAGAAAATGCAAACTGCACAAGAACAAGAACGACTCCTTTTTGATGTAAAACATTTCTACAAGATTGGAGTCTCTGAAGTCCATAAAGGAGGTGTAGCAGGACCTGAATATTATGTGCATTCACATTCTTATGCAGTGCACACTTTTAAGTCCAACATTGAATGCTTCTCATTTCTGAAGCCTGCTGCTTAAAATAACCACCTACGCTCGGCATGTAATGTAACATTTCATTGTATCAGATTGAAGAGCTTGCATTTATACAGCCTAAAGAAGATCCTTAAAAACACACACACACATACGCTCACAAACCTCGTAGGACAACTTGCCTGCAGGCCCAGTGTGTTATTTAAAGATTTATTTTGAAAGAAAAGCTCCTCGAGATGATTATCAGTCATTATTATAAAGTATCTAAATACAGGCAACTGAGGTATATCTGTCTTCCTACAGGTGGAGTGATGGGGAAAGAGTGAGAGGCAGAAAGAAAAAAGCCCGGGGAAAGAGTGAGAAAGAAAGCCAACAAGAGAGGAAAATAACAGGCGGAGAAATGGCAATGTGTAAAGGCTGGACATGGATGGTGTTGTCTACAGGCTAGATCATCATGATGTATTGTTCATTGCACTTCTCTGTAAAAAAAGGCAAAAGGCAGAAATTCCAACAGTTCACGATGTTACAGCCTTCTGGTACAATTCAACATGAAAAAATAAAGCCATATAAAACAATGAATCCTAAACTTGGATCCAGTGACTTCAGTTCACCTTCGGTTTTTTTTAGAAAAGTGCACAGACTTTGAAAAGTTCAAAGTGATTCAGCACAACTCTGCCTGCTTTTAAAACAGAGATATGCATCCTTATGAAAGCTTAACTATGTCATATTCTGTGGCTTGACATTTGTTCACTAAAACAAGAAAAACATCAGTAAGATGGCACATTTTCAGAAAGCTGAACCAAGCTCAGACCCAAAAATCTCTACACCTTTTTGATTTATTCCCTTATTATCAGGCGGAGTACATGAATTGGCACATTTTCCAAAACTTAAATCTATTCAAACAACTCCTATATCAGTCTGTTTAATATGGAGAGCCAGCCAGAGATGGATAGCTTGGCTTAGCCTAAAGACTCTGGAAACAGCTGGCCAAGTCGTATGAAAAGGTTGAGTAAAATCTGAAGCATACAAATTAAGATGTTATATTTCGTTATTATAACCCACAGGGTACAGAAGTCCCGGGTCCTGCTATGCAAACTTTAGATTGCAACTATCCATCAAATATTATCTGTTTCAGAAAATCTCATTCTTTATTGCTGTGTCCAAATTCGATTATATGTCTCGCTTTGGTCCCAGAGTTGTAACTAACTTAACCAGACAACAATTCCAGTGAGTTATTGAATTCATATTTTATGTTCTTAATGGGACCATGAGCTTAGTCCAGTGGAATCACTGGAATCAAAAGTTCTTACCGTATTTTTCGCACTATAAGGCGCACTGGATTATAAGGCGCACCGGAGGCTGCGGTAGCTGCAATGCTCTGACAAGCCAAAAGGATTTTAAGTGCGCCTTATGGTGTGAAAAATACGGTACATTTGCCTCGATTCAATCTTCAAATTGCTTAGCAACAATCATATACCATTGTCCGACAGGAAAGGAAAGTAAAAAGTTCAGAAACTGGCGCCAACTTCTTGGCTAGCTACCAGCGTTAAAAGACACCAAGCCAAGACTTCCTTCTCAGTGCTATGGTTAGATGTTTAAAGTCAGTGCCATCAATTCATCAGTCTGTTGTGGGTCTTAGCTCAGTGGTAGACAGTAAGTTACTTGTGTGAATGGGGTTTGATGAGTCCTGATGTTTTCCAGATCCAGAGAATCCATATGCTAACTAGCTTTCGCAGCACGACATGAAGCAGGTGTATCACTCATGTCAAAGTTTTGATCCTGAACTGACTGGCATGTAGATATCTGCTTTTACAGATGAATAAATACTTGTTCGTGAACTTCCACAGCTCGCACTCCACCTGCTTTTGCTCTCCATACTGATCATTTCCCTGCTCGTATCAAAGCCTGCTGATGTTCGGTTGCTCTATACTACTAAAACAAACCAGAATGAAAGTCCTGACCCTGGGTACAGATTCTACATTTATATGTAGAAGCTGTAAACAGAGTATCTTAGCCTATATTTGATGATAACAGCTCTTTGGTTAATGCAAATGACAACTTTCTTCCAACATTTTTACCCGGATTTGACAAACAAACGCTCAAGTTTTTTTAGATAATGGTAGGGTATGCTAACCTTTATGCTAAGCTATGCTAAAGGCTGCTGGTTTAAGCGTTCTCATCTACCTCTCTTCCAGAAAGCCAATTCAAGTATTTGTAAAATATCAAACTATCCCTTTAATGTTACACTGTCTTACCCCTTGTTATCTGGCAGATACATGTACCCTCGCTCACACAGCGTATCACAACAGATCATGTAAGGCATACCAGCTTGCTTGACAAACTGTAGGCAGTGATTCTGATGACAAAACAAATAGAGACACACTGTACAGCCACACAGAAACGCACAGGAGGCTCGGTGAGTGTATAAAAAAAAGGGGTCTGGTATTTTTTCGATTGTCAGCTCAATGATTCACGACCAGCTGTCATCTGAAAAGGCGAAAACTTCAATTTGGTTTATTATGACAGACTGCTAATGAACAGCGGCCGCCTGTCAACTGCAGTTAAGTCATTAGAGTTAAATATAGGAGAGTATTGTGTAATATGTGATCACGGTTAAATATCCACTGTCTATTTGATAAAATAAATTCAGAATTTTCCATCATAATTTACCTTTTCTAGCTCTATATATAAACAAAGAGTACATTATGGGTACATTGTTGAGTGAATCAGTAAGTAGATGTAGGCTTACACCGGCTGAGGTTTTATGAGAGGTATTCAGCTCAGTTCCACATACAGAAACGGTGGTTCAGCCCTGATACACGTGTGTAAGTATGTGTGGGAGTGAGTATTCCTATGCCAGTGGGTTTCAGCACATTTGTCCATCTGCCCCTCTCTTCTCTACTACTTTTACAGCTTCATGTATGAAACGCACTCACATATGTGTTGGCAGATTAAACGAAAAACAAACCGGAGTTGAAATGAGGAGAAGAAAAAAAAGTAAAACATAGGGAGTAACTGTAACCAGAGAGAAGCAGAATAATTAGGCTGATTGAAAGAACTACAGTATCAGAGTCGGAGAGACAGTCTGTGTTTCTGTCTGTCAGGATACAGTCCACTGCTTTTCTCAGAGGATTGTGCATACTGCAGTGTCAGTCCACCAGCCCTGGTTCATCCATTAAAGAGCTTAGAGGAGCTTCCACTTCCATGTAGCCATCCCCTCACACAAGTGTTTCAACAGTCAGAGAGGGGAGGTACTGCAGAGGAATAGGGGTGATCCACGCCGTAGCAGTCCCTATCCCACAGGTCCATGGATCACCACACGCGGCAGATGTTGTCTGGGACCATGTAGCTGCTCTTGTTGCAGCTGAATGTTTTGGCGAATTCTGGGAAATTCTGGAGGGAGCCGAGTACCCTGTAACAGATTCAGAGGAGGTTAGAAGTTGGGGTTAAAGTTTATGAAAAAGAAGCAGATGTCTGGTTTATTTTTAAGGATTCACTCTCCCTCCAAGCATACCTGAATTTCCCTGGACTGTGTACGTCTACTTTTATGGAATTCACAGCTTGCTCTGGTCGATGTGTTCCACACCACACCTGAAAAAAGACATACTTCATTAATCAACCACATCATTCATCTAATTATCTCTCCAATTAATTAGTCATGTGTTCATTAAGTCATCCAAGCTTCCATTTCATCAACCAAAAGGCTACTACCTGGGCGAAGTTCAAGAAGAAGAGTTGATCATGGGTAAGGTCGATGCCAGGCAGTGGTGGTTCCTCCCCATTGTCCTCCACATAGTTTTTATAGGCCTGCAGAATGAATCCAACACAGAGATTTTTAATAACTTCACTTTAAAAAAACATAAAATATGCAAAAAATCAGACATTTTCCTGTAAAAGTGTTTTATATTACTCTACACTTGACCAGTTTAATGTGGATTCACAGAATTTGCCCCAGCATGTCCTTTCTCGCTGACATCCAAAACCATGCTTGAAAATCTCTGAAACCTACTATTAAAAATTGTGCAAGTTTTGTTTGTTATTCTGTTTCTTTTATCACCGTTTCACATTTGCATTTACTGCTTCAAACCACCACAAACCCACAGCTGTAATATTGCAACATCTGCTCAAAAAAGTCTATTTTTTCTGGCTAAATGTAGACAATAACTGCATGGCCCAAAGACCCAGACTGATCTGTGCCAGAGGGCACTTAATGGGAGGCTATATTTATTCTGTACAGCATACAGCAAATCCAAACAGTGTAGGAGTCTGGCTTTGACTTTATTTTCATCCTGACTTATTTCAACAAACAGATTTTTTTGCACAAGTACTTGAAAGTACATGATTCATTCAGTAATGTTTCTGTTAGAGTTATCATAGCATGCAAGAAACATGAAACTTTTGAATCTTATTCATGTCACTATTGTTTCTAGCATAAAAAAGTCGAGATTTAGAGTTTAAAGGGATATTTCAGTGTAAAATTAATTTAGGGTCAAACGCACCCTCAAGATGTGAATGTTGCCGACTGCTTGCTTCTCTAGTTATACCAACTTTAGTAACAACCACAGATAGTAATACACAGCATCTTTCTAACTTTGCCTGATTTCTATAGCAAAGAGACTAAAGACAACTCACCTACTCTCTTCCAGCAGCCGCTTGTTTGTAGCAAGACCTCAGGCCAGTCCATTACGGACTACTGCGGGGTGACGCAGCTCAAGGAAGAACATTTATGATGATTTCTTCAAGGAAATACGATCAGACTGAAACACTAAGGCAGAAGAACTACCGCGTCTGCCGTGCAAAATGATTAAAATGATGATTATTACTTCAAGTAAACGATAAAGTAATGATCATAAATGTTCTTCCTGGGCTGTGTCAACCCGCAGCAGTTTGTAATGGACTTGCCTGAGGTCTCGCTACAAACAGGCGGCTGCTGGAAGAGAGTAGGTGAGTTGTGTTTAGTCTCTTTGCTGAGGAAATTAGACAAAGTTCAAAAGATGTTTGGTGGCTAGTACTATGGCTATGACCCTATATGTACTGTTGATGAAGTTAGGTGCTGTTCTGAGCATTATTTGTGGCTATAGAGTGGCGTTTTGGTTGAGGTTTATTTATGGCTCCTCAGACCGCTGTGTATTGCTACCGTGTGGTCATTACTAAAATTTGTATAACTAGAAAAAGCAAGCAGTCGGCAACATTCATCTCTTGAGGGGTTGTCTAACTCGGTGTTACCGTGTGTTTGACCTTAAATTAATTTTACACTGGAATATCCCTTTAAGATCGTGTAAATAAGTCTAAAAAGGGATGTGTGTTACAGTTTATCTAATTTGAAAAACATATTGTCTGCTTTCACATTTAAATCTGCACACGCCCTTTCTCTGCGCCTCTGGTCAAAACTGCTGAATTCAGCTGCGACACCATGCTCTTTGTTGTTGTGTTTACAATAGCTAATGAGCCAGTCAGTGACCTGGCAAAATGACACATCCATTAATGCGGGCGAGCAGTAGATAGAACCAAACTGTGGACTGAATGTCATCCCCTGTCATCTTTAACCCGGGGCTCTTAATCCGAGTTCCCTCCTTTGTTTTTCGGGCTCATTACCTGATATGCCTGTCGAATCCCTCCATTGTCAGCAATGTTCTCCCCGAGGGTGTCGTTACCATTTAACTAGAGACAGGACACAGAGAGAGAGAGAGAGACAACAAAGATTGTTAGGAAACAGTACCTAGGAAGAACGGTAATTTTTCCTTTGTATTACCACAAATAGCAGATATCAGTCTTTGGGATACAAGAAGTCATTTTTCTAAGGGTATAAAAGAAGCATTGTTCATAGTAACAGGACAGGGGAGGGGAAACAAACAGAGGGAGAAGGACCGATATGTCAGCACAAATAATATTAGAGACATATGAGTCTGCAAAACTGGAGGAAAGATGGAAAGGCAAGCCAGCAAAGGTAAAAAAAAAAAAAAAGAAAGCAAATAAATGAGTCTCTGAAAAAGAGTGGAGCTGTACTGGATCTAATCCTGTACTTAAAGAGGGGTTAAGGGCAGCATGGACATACATGAAGTCCATTGGCAAGGTCCCAGGAGAAGTTGCTGTACTGATTGACGATGCACTTTGACAGGTCAAGGAACCTCTGAGTGGATTCAGGCGTCCACCAGTTCTTCAGGTCACCGTCCTTATCATAGTTTCGACCTTGAACAAGAAGCACACGTGTAAACGCTCTCAACAAATATCCATTTATGAAAAGCAACACTGTAATCGAGGTCAATTACCTTTTTTCTATCTCATTATCGTTGTGTTTATGCGCTTTGGACTGCCTGCAGTTATGAATAGTGGTATAAAAGTATCCTGGCATTTCTGAGATTAAATATCATCACTTTTCATAACCCCATGAAAATAAGTGAGGTGGAATTTTATTGGGGTTATGCAAGCCAAGACAGTAAACAAAGCTGGCATTTGAAAGCATTTTTTTCTGAGGTGGGACTAGGTACCGGAAAAGAGTAATCCCTTTTTTTTTTTTTTTAATTTTACTCAAACACCAATAGAGCTGCCAAAACTACCACTGGGAGGATTAGCAAGCAACACAGTGGAAAGTCGTACCATTGTCATCAAAGCCATGTGTGATCTCATGACCGATTACCATGCCGATGCCACCATAGTTGAGGGATTTGGGCTGGCCTTTGCTGAAAAAAGGCGGCTGGAGGATGCCTGCAGGGAAAACTGGCAGAGGGGGGGAAAAAAAAGCAGATTCTTTTTGTCTCTCCAAAGCAAAACCAAATGTTGAATTTTGACTAACAGCACATGTTTTAGCAGCTTAATCTGTTTGCAAGTGCCAGTGTGAAAATACCTATTTGGTTTTTGCTGGATGAGTAGAAAGCATTAACAACAGCAGCTCCGGTTACCCACCTGAGGGAGACAAACAGGGTGTAATCTCAGCATAGTAGAGGAAGAAAGCACCAGAGTGCAGCACAATTCACATTCAATGAAGAATATTCAAATTAACCTGAGTTATATCAACGTGCTAACATTAGAGTTCCTGCTGTGCTGAGAGGAAGGCTGAACTGTGTCTGCGAGTAGGAGTTTGTGTGGGAGAATGTGAATGCACCGTGCTAAATGCAAGCTAGTGTGTCAGACCACAAGCACCATAAGCAAAAAGAAAAAAATGTTATCAGCGATTCAAATATAACTCCAAGTTTAAAATACTGCGAAATTCTAAATTAGTCTGTTCCCTGAGCATTGATTTAACTCTGCCCCCACCGGGAAAACTTACTCCTCCTTGTTGACTTTAACTCTGAGTTTCCGCAGGCGTTTCTTCTGCGCATACTCCAGGTTCAGCAGGCTGTTTTCAAAGTACTCCTCTGCACTGTAGTCAAGCTAACACCAACACATGCACAGCCAGAGAAATGGGAGGATTAGCCGTGATGAGAGCTATCAACACCTGGTCATACATTCTCTCGCTGAACTCGTGAAAGCCGAGAATTCACAGGGAGCTTTTTCAGAGAATTGGTATGCTGCCACAATGAACCCACTCTGTACTCTGTTACACTGATTTAGCACAGGGAGAAAAACCGTCATAATCACATCTTTGCAAACACTCACGTCTTTGTACTCATTGTTCAGGTATCGGTCATCCATAATGTTGTCTGAATAACCGATTCGTTCCCGAATAGCTCTGGCCTACAGAGAAGAAGTGAAAGAAAGTGAACAAAGTGTAAAAGCCATCATATCCAGTCCTTGAGAGTGAAATAAAGTGGATTACAACAACAACAAAAAAACCTTCTCCTCTGCTGCTTTCTTGGTCTCTGCATCCATCCAGGTCTGATCATCAAGGTTACTAATGAACACTTCCCGGATATCTTTTATCATCTCCTCCATCTGATGCCCACACAGACACACAAAAAAGAAAGAAGGGGGACAACAGTCACAAAACTCAGATCATGAAAAGAGCTCAACAATTACTGTCAGTCAACACAAAAGTCCAAAGTGTAGGAGGGTTCCTCTGAAGATCTTCACAAAAGATTTAGTTAAAAGCTCTTTAAAAAGACCTTGCAACAAGTTGTGCAATGCAGTCATAAAACTGTGCCCCCGTTATTCAGACTTCATCACTTCAAAGTCACGTATCACAGAGGAGGCTCTCAGGTTTGCACTTCCTCTGTCAGTAGATGTGAGGAAATCACTTCTTATTAAAGGACGTGCAGTTATGTGACTGTGAACAGGTTTACAGATTGATTAATAGACATTACATCTTAATGTACGTGTAAAAAGAAGACAGATGCAATGAGGAGTTATAATAAAACGGTTTGGATGTGAAAAGGTAATCGGTATATTTAGACTCTGTGTCTGATGTTTGCAGGACAAGAGTGATTCTCTCACTTAAGGTAGAAAAAGTTGTCCCGTCGTCGGTGAGGGAGAAGTGACATTGCTTGACAGTGAAAGAAAGCTGACACTGTGAGTATTCTTGCTGAACTCCACTGTTTTTGTGCAGACACTGTGCTACAGCGGAGCTAAATGTGGTGTTAAAGGACACATGCCTTTACTCATCTTTACTAAAGTCGAACTATGTTGCTTTAAAAATCTCTTAGCTAAACAAAAACAGTTTGCACATGCATTATTGATGATACGAGCAGTTTAAACTTTGAAGATCTAATAGTAATTTACTTACAAATGCATAGTAGTTCTGGGTTTAAGTGTTTGAACTCAAAGTTTCACCATCACACCAATATACAGAACTCCTAATGAACACAACATTGGTGATTTAGACAAAGGGATTTACTATTTTTGTATGCAAATTCAGGCAGTAAGGTGCTCCAAAATCCACATGACATGAATAGTTAGAACCTGTGGTATTCTTCAATCGATGATTTCTTGAGCTAAAAGAATTTACTAGAATAAACACGCCTCCATAGACACACGCAGACAGACTGACTGTCGCCGTTGGATGGCATAATGCTGTCTAAACCATGTTCTGTGCCATGGTTATCAGATGATAAGAAAAAAAAACATTTCTGTCCAGGGATGAATTGAAAACAGAATTACAATAACTCAAAAATAAAGTACTTGAACAAAGAAACATTTAAAAACCAAATACAATGAGAAAAAACAAAACAAAAACTGTTGTGATAGAGGAGGCCGCTCTTCCAGATCCAGATCCCTCTAACCGCGGAGACCACAGCCAGCTGACGGAGGCGTTCCAGTGTCTCATCATATCAGCGGACCCCTCACTGCATGACCCCTCGGACAACACGCTGTGGTTCACCACAAACCCGCAGGGATCATACTGATGAGGCTTTGCTGAAACTCTTTCAGCATACAGCGTGTGTGTATGTGTGAGTGTGTGTATGTGTGTGTGTGTATTCAAGTCTGTGCCAGTAAATGAGTGCCGTGTACATACATGAATGTCTGAGGCCAGCAGCACGCTCGGACGTCTGTTTACATTTGAAATCCTTTATAATACTTCACACGGGTCAAATGAAGGGTTCATATAAATACAATCATAAGCCTCTTAAATCCAAATACATTATGAAAGTGTGCTTTAGAATTATAATGGTTTTCCTTTGGGGGTGCTTATCTGTGACTATTAAACTGAATTTTATTCACTTTGACTCCAATGCTCAGGAGTTATAGCTCCAGCAGAGAGAGTCCAGTAAAAGAGGGATAAAGTACAGTCATAAACGACTCTAAGAATTATATTTTTAAACTTTTGTTTTAAAGAACAAGAGTCCAAACTGCAGTTGAATGTGTGTAGAAATAAAAGTGAGCAACAATATCCAACATTCTTGGCTGAAATGCCCCCTTGCTCACCCTTTATTTAAGGGGCAATGGAGGCCTTTGTGGACAAGCAGCATCCTCTGACTTTCATGTAACGCAATATAAATTAATCCTAAAATTCAAATTATACAGCAAATAACAACTGCACTTCAAATAGCCTCTCCCTAATACAAAAATCAATGTGTTTCTAACGCTTTCTAAGTTAACAAACAAACTTTAATCTTTCTGGAAATTTAATTTTGACTAGTGTTTACATGAAAACTTGTATCAATTATGATGCTTTATTAGCTAAGTATAAGCTTCAGTTGTCAATTAAAGGCAGTAGACTGACACATGAAATTAGCAGCAGTAAGTATGAAATGAAAAACACGTAGAGACAAGTAGAGTTAAAGAGTCTTAAACATCCATTAAAACGCTGAACTTCTGTAAATGTACTTGGTTAAAATCTGCTGCCAATTATATCTGACATAATTTTTTTAATGGCTGAGCAGCATGTGTTCTCCGCTGCCAGTCCACTCAGCGCATTAGCGTATATAGGGCCCTGTATTCGTGGAAATGAGTGATCGTACGTGCACTCGAAGGAGTCGTATGTCACTTTCACATACATACTCACACTCAGAGGCTCATTTTCACAGCGTGTGATGAGAGATCCACATGCTTGAGTGGGCAAACGTCCAGAGGATGACAGAGATTTACCGTGTGTGAGACACTCAGCGTTATGACAGATGCACACTGCCACACACACGCAAACACACATTCACACGTACATGCACATGCACAGTCTGGCTAATGTTCACTTAATCATGTGCTGAAGACTGCATATATACACATGCATGCTGGGAGGTGGGCTTTACAGTGTAGGTGGTGTGGGCATGATAACAGGCACACCTTGTTCAGCTGATATCGATGTTACAAGCTTAAAAAACAAAACCATGGTGACCGAGGGTGAAAAAAAAAACACTGGTGTGAGAGAGAGAGAGAGCTCAACTGGCAGAGAAAAACCACAAGTTGTCATTGTGCAAGTATGAATATTTGAATATTTTCACACTGTCACATGGTGCTTGTGAAAACACATGGCTCACAGAATCATTTCTGCCATGTAATTATCACACTCAAACTGAAAACAAGGGATTCCTCTTGAAAACATTTGCATATTTTCTTTTATCCCTCCCACTCCTAACTCTTGACAAACTCTTATATCACAAGTATAATTTCTACTAACCAGTTCTTTGCTCTTCTCTGAAAAGGCCTCTTGCACGTACAGTCGTCCCACAGCATTGTCCATGTTGTTGTTGACATAAAGTGCACACTGTCGCCACACGGCTGCCTCCGAAGTTGTACCGGACATGGCCTGCAGGGACAGTAACAAGGCACTGATCAACTTGTATGCAACATAAACCATTTAGCAAATCGCTTAAAAAAGGACTTGTGGCATTCTTGCATGCATTACAACTTCAAGAAATTGGGCAGGAGTAAAATGATTACATTAGGAAGCAAGTAGGACCAGAAAGACACCCTCATGTTTAGTTTTAGGAGTGCTAGCAGGTTTGTTCTGTATACAACAATGCCAATATTGAGCTACCTATGGCTTAAATTCAGAGCACAGGCAGAGACTTCTTATTCCCCCCTCTATCTGATCTGTCTCAAGATCCAATTTACAAAGTAAACTGTACGTCTTATATTCAAGAGAAAAGATGTCTATGAAATGTTGCTGCTGTCTGTGCACTCTCTGTTGTGCTGGGCTGCACTGTGCACTCTAATCCTGACAGAGCAAAAATCTCTACTCTATGCACTGTAGGTTGATTGTCGACAAATGTATGTTTTTAAATGATGATTAATTGACCCCTGTGTGTTAAGAGAGTATCCCAACACATTACACCACTAGCAGCTTAAACTATTGATGCAAGTCAGGATGGCTCCATGCTTTCTCTCAGCCAACAGTTTTCAAAGCCGTCACGGTCCAATACTGGTGAGCCTTTGCAAATTGTTTTCTTAGTTGCTGTTTTTTCTTCACTGAAAGGACTGGCCCCCAAGGTGGCGCTCTGCTGCTGTTGCAGAGATTTACCATGTACAGGCGTGAAAGTACCTGTAAGCTTTGTACAAGAGGAGCACACCCAAGTTTAATGAGGTGCCGACTCTGATGCCGCAGTATCATCATCTGCTGCATCTCTCTTTCTCTTTAACATGTAACGTGAAGGTTCGATGTAAGGTGGTTGGATAATTCGAATGATGAGAAACAGCAGGATGGAGACGGATAACTTTCTAAGCAGCACTTTTACTCTCCAGCCATCTTTTCATCCCAACAAAATCACCCAAAAACTTAACATCCTGGACAACCATGTTCACATGTCACAGCACTTACCAATCAGAGGCTGGGACCTCAAAATAACATGAACCTCAGAAACACATTCTGTATAATCTGCTAACCCAAACAAACAGCTGCAGAGAAAAACATTTAAACTTGTATGTAGATACGAACCTGTCAACACTTTGTGAATAGTTCTCTGTATGAATTCTATAAACACAATTTTTAGCTTAATTTGGAGACAGTTAACTGTAATAGTTACCAGAAATATTTGAATTGACTTCACTGTTCAAGCTTACAAACACAAAATAAAAATTTCTCTACCTTTTGTTTTATTTCTGCATCAAGATTGAAGCAGCTGTCTTCCGCAAAAGGCGGAAGACGGTCCCCAGCGCCTCGGCAACCAGCGTCCAATCAAAAGGGCGACTTGTGCGCGCCCACTTCTGGTTTGTTTGTTTGCGGAAGCAAATGCCACTCACTCGCAAGCAGCATGGTCCTTTTGGATTATTACGGTTACAACGCAGAGTGCAGACCGACCGACGTGCGGCAACACGGTAAGCAAATGTAGCCTAAATATACTGCTGGGGTGAAAGTTTGGGTACCGCTGTGTACCGGCTGTGAACTGCTGTTTATGTCTTCCCTGTTTGGTGTAGCGCCGCGTACCGGCCTCTGCTTGTGTGGCTTCACATGTTGTGTTCTCAGAGACGTCCCTCTGCATGCAGAGTTTGTAACGAGTGACTGTTGCCTCTCTATCAGCGAAAACCAGTCCAGCTATTCTCTTCTGACCTCTCCCATCCTCACCCGCTCACTTGATATTTCCTCTTTTTCAGACCATTCATTATAAACCCCAGAGATGGTTGTGCATAATAATCCCAGTGAGATCAGTATTCTCTGAAACACTCAGACCAGCCAATCTGGCACAATCCTGCCACATTAAAACTCACCTGTCTTCCCCGTTTTGACCCATTTAATCCGGGACAGCATGTACACATTTCAACCTTCCAAGCCCGGAGCGCGGCGCATTTCACGCGGAAAGCCGGTTGTAGTGTTGTGTCGTTCGCGAACGATTCGTTCAAACGAACCGAATCTTTTAAGTGAACGTACTGAACCGAATCATTTCCTCAGATGATTCGTTCGTTTCTCACCTCAGTTGAGCTGTTAGCAGAGCAGCTGCTATAGCACGCAGCATTGCCAGGCAAGCAGCCAGCAAACAAGGCCTGAATCACTTGGTAAATGAATCACGCTTGAACTACACTCTCTGGAATCATCTTTGTTAGACAAAAATACCTTTTCTTTCACAACTAAATTACCACTACAACAACTTGCATACAATAGGACAGCATGATGTAACAAGTAGTGCACAGAACCCACAGCATCCTATCATTGCAGCGGTTTGCGAGGGAACGGTGCATGTTCAGTGTGAATTCCCGCCAAGTGATTTGGTGAATGAATCTTTTGAATTAACCTTTTTAATGAACTGATTTTAGTGATTCAGTACATCTTAAAGAAATGCCGTGCTTATTACTAGCTGGTTGCATATGTGCACTTCAACCTTCCAAGCTGGGGGCACTCATGCGCATTTCTACCCTCCAAGCTGAGAGCGCGGATATGTCATTTTGTAACATTTTGTAGTTTCTTCCATCATTTCTGGAGTTGTGACGTATCAAATTATCGTACACTTCTGTCTGATAGGCTAATAAAGCTTAATAAAGGGCTCAGATTCATGCTCGGATCTTGCTACGTGCTTTGTGAGGAAAGTAAACAGTGACAGGGGCAGAGAGCAGCTTCAGAGTAGAAGCATCCAACAGTATGAACAACCTCTTCATATTGAGTGCTTTGGCTCACACTATCAGCGTTTTCTGTGTGTGTTGCATGACTTTGAGTGAGCATAAACACACTGCCAGCCACTTATTTATTTATTCATTTTTAGTGCTGCTTCTGTACTGGCACTATACTAGGGCAGCTGTATACCCTTTCAACACTTTATTTCTTATATTTATATTTGTATTGAATGGACACTTTATCATGACTGCGACTTGTTTTACAAAAAGCAAATTGTGTCTTATTCTCCAGTACAGAGCCTTTACTTTTATTTATACAGCCACTTTATTTCTTTGAGTTTGTCTGTTCAAGATTTTCAATAATGTGATGAAGGTTCAGACAAATAAAAGATAGTTATCTAGAAAGCCACGTGTAGGCTCTTAAATACTAATTGTACTCCTCAACTTGCCCTCAGGATTTCAGAGGTGTGTCTCAGACAGGGTCCAGCTCTTAATGGGTTGTAGCTTGGTTTGAACTTGGGCAGGTCCTCTTGACCGGGAAATACTGCTGTCATGTGATTGGTTGATAAGATGTTTGGAATTACAGTGTTGGGATCATTTGAGATTTGTGCACACAACTCCTTGTAAAAAGGTTTGCATTTATCCCACAGTAAAAGTTTCACACTTGCTGCTTATGGCTGTTTGCATCAGTGTTTTTGCAATGAGCTTCACAGGGGGGCCAGTTTTGTTCCCACCAGTTCTGAATGTGTGCATACAGCACCAGGTCTCCATTGCTGTGTTGTGCATTTCATCTTTCGCATTAGCTTTGTGAATTAAACAGTTTTTCTCTCTCGTTTCCACGGGTTATGAGAGTCACGCCTCTAGTTTTACGTCGCCTTTGTGCTGATCCCCAGATAAATGTGGTGTACCTTGCGGAAGGCTTTCCTTGTGTCCCTGTATGCTCTGCTCAGGCTCATCACATTGTTCATAGCATAACGGCCCACCATGTAATTCTGCAGATCCCTGTGAAGAGAGAGCGGATGTTCAGAGACAATCTCTTACTCACTCAAAGCTACGATTCATTTGTAACGGGTGAACAGCTGTTTTTATTGTATGCAACACTACCCGCCCCCGCGAGCGAACACTCATAAGCAGGCTTGCACTGTGATACACAGGCATAATCACACACTCATACCAACACATACCTCTTTGTGTATTTGGCCAAGATGAGGTTGAGTCTTCGGTAATAGTTGGGGGAGTAGTTTATGATCTTTTCCGTTTCAGGAACACTGATGTTGACTGTATCCATTATCTTAGCTGTGAAGTAACTCCAGTTGAAAACCTTCAGGAGGAGTTGGAGAGCACAGAGAGAGAGAGGGAAAAGGAAGATTGGAAAGAGCTAGGCGAAGAAAAAGTGAATTCAGTCAGATAAACAGTCTATTTTTACCTGTGATCCAACCTCAAGGGTGAAGTTGGCGTTTAAATCACCCAGCTCCATCTTGTTGTAAAGCAACACTGGGTTGTTACGGTCCTCTGGAGTATCAGTGGCCTTGGAGAGAGAGCAAGACAAAGAGGTGGGGAAATCAAAAAAGCTGTCACAACATCATCCTCCTGTTTCCTGACACGTGCATGACCGCTGTGCAGGTCCAGCAGCAACAAACACATTTGGAGTCCTCGGGAGGCTTCGGGTCTGTAAATGTCAGAGCTCCGGCGCTCAGTGCCTTATAAAAGCCAGCAGCCGGGCGCAGGGGAAGTCAAGCATGGCAGTCCAGCCAGCACAGAATGACAAAGTGTGGAAACCTGTTGATGTCTGAGAAAAGTTGCTGTGCAGGGATCAGGCTGGTTAACGACTTGTTTTACGCCGCAGCTGCTCCTGACTGGAGAGCACAAACACACGCTGGGCGCAGAGGTTGCAGTGGAGGGCCAGAGTGTCTGATTTTGTTTGCTCACAAAATCTTCCTGTTATCAGAGGCTGAGATTGATGATGAGCTGGGTAAATTGAGCTGCTTAGAAGTATGTCCTTTTCTCTGTTAGATACTCCTCTAGAGACTAGCTGGAAGCTCTCAAATCTGACAAACTAATGCTTGATATGAGTGCGTGCTTACATTGGCGATGTCTCTCTCCAAGTCCATAACACGTGTAACCTCTTCTCTGATGCTGGTTTCGTTGATGCCCAGTCCCCGGTCAGTGCGGATCAGCTTAGCCAGGTCAATCATGAACTGCTCATAGGCACGACACGCCTGTTCAACACACAAACCCACACACTTGTTCAGGATATTCATAGCTTTACTTGACAGAAGGGTTGCAAAAGTCCGGAAATTTTCAAAGTTGAAGGTTGGCTCTTTAAATATAGTTGGGGAAAATATATTGTAGCATAATCTTGGCAAAAAAAAAACAGATTTAATGCAAGTACACTCCTCAATCACATACACACAGCACACTGTTTACTGCCTCCTACATGCACTGTGCATTCCTCCATCACATGCGCAGATGATTTCTTTAACCTTGGAGGCCAAACTTTTGAGCCCAAAGCACAAGACATTTGAGCACACAGACTATATAAAGTCAAGTAAGTTTTGATAATATTACGGGGTAAATATATTTGATCTATAATTGTATTAATATTTTAAATAATGAAATAAAAATAGGTGCTAAATGTCAGCTATTTTTCATTTCATTGACCATTTAAGGGGCTAGCTTATTATGGTGGTGGTAGTGACCTCAAATGCGATGGGGTTTTCTGTAACCATACGATAATTTATACATCAGTTGTCAAATATTCTGAGGACCATTATAGTTGTTTAGCCAACTATATTTCTGTTCATGCCATTGCGTTAGTGTTTTACAAGCTTTTTTGTTATTTTATTCCACAGAGATATGATACGTTGCCATCACCACTCAGATAAATCTGTGGAAATGTCATGTTTTTTTTTTATTGTACTATTTTGCATGGATGTCTGCTTATGACAAAACAAAAACATTAACATTCATGTTTGGATATGATACAGTTTGTTTAAATTACCCCCAATTTCCAGTTAATTCCCATAATTCCCATGGAAAGTTTCCAATTTGGAATATTTCCAAAATTCCCAAGCATGACTTCCCATGGACAGTTTCTGGAAATTTACCGGAAATATTCCGCCTCTTTGCGACCCTACTCAACAGGAAGGAAAAGAGGACGCTGGTTTGGATTTAAACAATGACCAAAAATTAGAGGGATGCATGCACTTTTGGAAACACACACAAACAAACACACATACACTGTCAGCCTTGAGCTAATCGTAGTTGAGTGCTGCTCTCTGCATATAAAATCTAGACTCCATGATAAACCGTAAAGCAAAACCAGGACAGAGGATGTCTGCTTTAAACGCGCACATCTGGTCTGGATTTAGGCGAAACTGAATCTGTGCTGTTTTTGCCCCTTCAAATTTAATCATCACTTGCTGCCTGTGAGTTTTTATTTATTACATACACACACGCTCGCAAAGTCATGTAAGCATGCGAATAAACACGAACTTAAATGAGGTTCTGATGTTTCCACTGATGCTCTCATTATTTGTCGGGCATCATGTTTCCTGGAATAAACTCTGGGGGACATGCAACCCACACTCTGTGGCAGTGGCCCAACTGAACACATGGAGCTATTTCACCTAGTATCTGAATGAAAGTATAAATTATATTGGACGGTTATAGTGAGTTTTACCTCAGCGTAGGGTCCAGTGCAAGCGTAGTAATCTCTGGATAAAAGGCCAAGATTTGTCTGCTGGTCGAACTGGCAAAAAAAGACAGTTTAGGTGGGTTATTTTCCAGCTGGTTGGGCAGGAGGATTGAGAGTCAGGGTGATATAAAACAGAGAGAGAGAAAAACACACGGGTTTCCTCGCTACAGTCGCACACCTACATGAATGATGTGCGAATTGGAGTCTCTGTCGTCAGTGCCGACAAAAAAGTTAACCAAGAGTTGAGCTCCGTATTTCTCATTCAGCTTGGCGATGATGTCCTCTAACCTCCACCTTTTACCTGACAAGCAGAGAGAAGAGGAAAAGAAATGAGAACCATCGACTCTTCTGAAACCTGCAATGTGTGAAAGCGAAAAAAAAGAAATACCCTACCATACACGGTGTCCCAGTTATCCACAGCCATGGGCCACTCGAACACATCAGGCAGCATTTCAAGCAAAGGAGCACCTCCTCTGAGCTCAATTAAACCTTCAATGGAGCACAAATGCTGTTTTTTTTATCATGAATACCTGTATTTCAAACTAATCCAAATCCAGAAATAGACTTCAAAGAACCCCTTTTATGGCTCATATACTTTTTATCTTATTAAGCACAGCTAATCTATTCAAATTTGGGCACATTTGAGAGCTTAAATGATGTCACATCCTAAACATGATGAATAATATAATGTGCTTTAAAAATAAAGCGTATATCAGAACTCTTAAAGTAAAAGGACCTTAGTTTTAATCGTCTCAGAACTTATAATTAATTTGAATAAGTTTTAAAAATTCTTATTGAGCTTCACTCTGTTAAAAAAAGAGAATAGTAGAAGCATAACCCCTGATGACAATGAGTAAAAATGTCACTTTAAAGTAATAGCAGACAGAAAAAGGTGTGTTAGAGTCTGACGCCTGCTGACTCACTCTCATTAGTACAGGACTTGTAAAGGGTCTTGGCCTTGGTGAGTGCGGCCGCTTCCCCCTCCTCTGTTTTTTCAAGGACACCTGCAAATGGAGCAGAGAAATAAAGCAGGCATAAAGCAAAGAGTCACTGCAGGGAGATAAAGGGGGAATAATACACGTGAAGACAGAGAAGGGGGAAAGAGAGAGGAGGGCGTAGATAACCTCAGGTACAATGCGGCTTTTCATTTTCTTTCGTTGATTTAAAACAAAACTCTGTCCATATGCATCGAATCATTTTGATTAAGGCAGGTCTGTCCTTGTGTCAGAAAGAATTAACAAAATGAAGTTCAGACTGTGGCAACACATCGCAACCAGTGACATAACAGAAAATATGACTCGAGGAGAAAAAGAAAACATGTTATGACCGCGTCTAAATTGGAAAAACTGATGGAAAACCAATGTCAATACTTTTCAATTTTATTCTCAATTTAGAAACTTTCTCAGATGGCAGCTGTTCCAAAAGTTTGACAAAACTACCAAATATCTTAATGGAGTTTCTTGATCAATATCACAGCATCGAAGTGAACAAATAAAACTTTAATGTGGACCTGTTCTTACTGAACAGACTTCACAGACTGGAGAGTCAATTTCTACTACTCTTGCAGCTCTGCAACATCATATCTGGCACACTTTGCCAACTTTGAAAGATGAAGGGTTATATCATCAAATGCATCAAACGCATAACAATAGCGAGAGAAACAAGACGTGGTTACAAAATGTTCCCTCACAACCAGCGTGAGCGATCTTCGCTTTAAATAATGGAAAAAATATTCAATACAATCTTTTTGTTGTGATTTAATTAATCTTTTCATTTGGGTGATTATTTCGGTTGTTTGCTGCAGAGGTCAGCTCGCTCATATAATCCACTATCAGAGTGGAAACATGCACAGCATATTTTACTCTCTTGTCGTTATAATTTGGGGCATGGCGGTGGTTTTCAAGGTGAGGGCGGTGACCTCAGAGCAGCCTAAAAGGCAGAGAGGAATCAAAGCGCATCAAAGCTGTGGGTGTGGCAGTAAAGGGCCATTTCAAAACAAGAGTGAGCGCCATTGCTTGTTTTATTGCCTCCATTTATTGCCTCTTCAACACCTGTTGTGGGCATATGGACGCCAGTTAGCTAGGCCCCAGGCTAGATAGTGTTTCAAGGCAGACAGCTAATCAAAATGAGTGATAAGTGTTGGGGTGTAAACTAGTTCAGCTGAAGGGAAGGGAGAATGGGACCAACATTTATACTCTTCCTGCTCTGCCTAAAGGCACTGTGTTGCATGCTGTAGCTTTGAAGTCTAACAATTTCCTCAGGATCCTACGTTGCTTTTTCGGCAGCGATGAGCTTGGGGATGAGCTTAAATGAACGCTCAGATCATCAAGGTTCAACCAAACGCCTACATGATAATTTAGGTGTTTGCTGAAAAACCACCGCGGTGAATGCAAGTGATTTGTTGTGATAGTGTTAGAAACTCTTTGCCTTCAGTCCTTCAAAACAAGAGAAATCTTACACCTACTCAACAGGCAACTTTAGCACAACTTCAGCTTAAACTGTCGAGCGATTTGTCATGCAAAAAAAGAGAGAGACAGAGAGAGGAAGATAGATTTTTTTTTTTGAAGAGGAAACACCTTGAGAGTCTGGCTCCAGCCTCGCAAAGTTCTGCACAGATGCTTCAACTAGTATGTCAGGGCTCCTGGGTGGCACAGGGCACTTCTTGAAAGAACATTTTAGAAAGGCCTTGACGGATTGGGAGCTTAAATCCTGACTGAGTCACTTCAGTTAGTTCCAGCTATCATGATGTAGAGCACACAGTTGTTCAAGTCTGCTGAGATTTATGAGGGTAATGATGTGATCCTTTTGAAATCCAAGACGCCCAATACCTGGACGTGGTTCAACGCCTGACTTGACTTCATTAAAACGGGGGGGAAAAAATCCATAGAGCATAATCATATATTTTCATGTAAAGCGAAACCTTTTCAGGAGTCTTATTTATTGTTTGGCGGTTTCTTCCCCACCTGACAATGTGCGATTGTTGACTTTCATGAAGCCTGTGAATCGAGTGACCAGAATTCATTTGGCTGATTTGGTTTGTGAGGAACTGCATCATGAATAATGGATGGTGTTAATCTTATTTGATCAAACTCTAAGCACACAAGACAAACATCCTGTACATGCAAATTGTATGTAAATTTTCAACTTCACCATCGCCTTGTGCTGTTTGAAACAGAAGACAAAGCATTAACAAGCTGTTGTCGAAACTGTATGAGAGCAGTCAGACGCCTCTGAATGTTCAGTCTAAATGTGTCTTACCACAAAGTCATGTACATTTACATCAAACACACCTTACGTATAGAATTATGCATTTTTCAGTGTTATATTTTTACTCTGTTTTCGCTTTTTAAAGTGATTTTAAAGTTTGAAAATGACAGGTTCTGGCCAATTCTGACTCATTTCTGCATTCTTGGAGCTCTCACTAGTTAGCATTAATAATAAAACTACCCGAGCCAAGCTGTGCAAACAATGTGTGCTTTAGTACTATTCATAAACCAGTCACAATGGCTGTATCAATTACCCAAGACCCCCTGTCTTTTTTTTTTACAAAATATAAACGCTTTGAGAAAAGTAAGTTGGCATTTGGCTGCAGCCTGCCAGACAAATCATTAGGCAAACAATAAGAGTGCTGAACCCGGCCCGCCTGAATCCACTCCCACCTCTTTTTAAGTAAATTGTGCTCGCATAAATCAAACCGGAAATAAACATAGAAAAACAGTCTTTAAATCTATAAATGATTTAATTTAGATGTAGGAGATTAGAAGTTAATGAAGGTGGAACCAAATTTCTGAAATAAATAATTAATCATCTAGGATGAAAAATTTGATTTGGTTTGTCATTTTTGAAAAACAGACTTTTTCTCTTTTTTGCCAAGTGTCAAATAAAAAAAAAAGAGGAGAAAAAAAAAGCTTTTTTTCTTGCACAACACACACTCCCAAAAAGTCAGGATGTCGTGCGAAATGTTAATGAAAAAAGGATTTGATGGTTTGAAAGGCTTCTATCTGAGTGAAAAATAACATATAAAGGACTCTATTATTAAGAGAAAAATATACGCTCACTTTAAATTGATGCCACCAGCTTATCTCAAGTACGACAAAGTACTGAAAAAGTTTAGTAATGTTAAAAAGAACCCGGAGGAGCATCTCCCAACTAGTTAAATTCATTAGCAACAGGTTAGATACAGGATTCCTACTGCAATATGAGCACCACCAACCGTGGGAGGTGTTTTTTAGCAGAGAAAATAGATTAATTTTAAGTTCACAAACTCTTCTATCCATTAGTATTTGTGAAAACTACTTCATTTGTTTGGCTGGTTCCCATAGAGACACTTTTGGTCAATGTCTTTTGTTCCGCCAGTCCTCTCATATGTGCTTGACAAGAAAGGTAATGAGCTTATTCCAGATAATGACGAGCTTTAAATGTCATTACTAATTAAAAGAAGCTCTCTAACCGTGGCGTCAGCGTTGCCTGTCAGACATAAAGTTTCTCCTTATGAATGTTTCATCAGGATATACTCCATCATACTTGCACATCTCAATGCAACTCCAGGATCAATACAGGAAAGAGGATGGATCTGAAATTACACCGCCGACTGACAGGAAACTCTCCCTGGAGTCTGACAAGACATGGCTCTGTCACTCGGAGTAGACATCAGAAGATAGAGATAACGAAAAATTTGACTTTTAGAGATTTCCGATTTTACAAAGAGACAGCACAAGCCGAGATGTTTGGATAAAGCTGCTATCTTTTATACACGCCGAGGTTTATCCCTTTCTTTAATCTGTAATTTATTCCCTGTCACATCCGATCACTGCGGCTTAAAAAACACCTGCTCTGTTATTACATTACATTCATGAGAATCCACACTTCTATCATTCAACACAGCAGCCCCAAAATTACCCCGAATTAAATTCAATATTAAGTCATAATCTTCTGTAATTCTTTTCATTTGCTCAGTGCTTCCAGTCATTTCTTTCTATTACTTCTACTCGTCTCAGCGCTTGCATGACTGAATTTCACATCATCCCCCTTTCTACTCTTTCATTTTCCTAATCCTCCCATTTTCTCATTACCATGTGTGCACTATTTATGTGCTCATTTAATCTTAATGAAGTCCTGAGATAGGGACCCTTCACAGGGCGCTTCCTGCAAAAGGGCACAGATCATGTGTGTGTGATTGGATTACTGCCTGCCTTGTGCTAATGTTTAACCACAGCAAAGGCTTACCCTCTCACTCACACACTCATACACACCCTCTCTCTCTCACCCCTGCGTGTGTGTGTGATTGGATGTATTTGAGAATGGATTTTCATGCCACCTGATGTTTGTTTGAGACATCTCGTCAATTTGAAACCAAATCACTCAGCATGAGAGAGAATTCACATTTCCAGTCTCTCTGCTCTGTATTGTCATTTTATCTTTGAGTGCCTTTGGTTTGACAGAGCATCACGCCCGCAGTGTTTTCTGTTTCGCTTCCAATGTATCATCAAAACGCGCATACTTTATTCACAGCATCCATAAAACATTCAGATTCTTTACATGAGGGTGACGAATCCATTCATCTACAATAAAATCATTAAATGTTATATATAAAACCATTAAAGGCCAGTTTTTCCCTCAGTTATTGCTTTCAATTTTTGTAGCAGCGATAAAAGCGACATATTCCACCAAAGAACACCTTTCTAATGTCATGCAAATGAGTACAACTGCCTATTAACAACTCCCTCAACACCCTCGATAAAGTTGAGAATAATTTACTGCCTTATCTGAGTATTCAATGAGGATAAATTGTATTAGATTATCATATTTAATTTGTCACTTTGTTGGTAGTACAGATGTTAATTTGTCTCCCTTTTTTTTAACGTTTTTCTCACCAGATGAAGAAATCTCTTTTGCAAGGGTGTGCTAATCGAGACTAACAACAGCCTCATCGACCAATATATAACCAGATATCTGATTTAACATGACATTCAAATTAAAACAGCAAATATTTGTCATCATCATCCACATAAATAATAATAAAAATGGACAGACAAATGTTTCTGCCATGAAGTCATTTAATATCCTCTGATAAGACCAGGTCAGGGAGTTTCTGCTTTTTTTCTCTCCAACTCATACCAAGGGAATAAAGTTTAAACGCCTTTTTCCCCAGTCCACTCCCGACCTTCCTCTCTGAACAGACAGGAAGAAAAGTACCTTGGAACAAAGATTGTGAGTTCCTGTGCTCTCCTGACTGATGTAGGTGAGAAGTTTTTGTGTGTTTGTGCTGAATCAGAAATACTGAACATTTGGAGTTTAAAAAATTGAAAGGATGCAGGGGTGAAAAAGGAGACAAAAATCACAGTTTGGTACCTTGTTATGGTTGGATTAATTTCAATAGTATACATAATTTAATTTTTTGTCTGCGCTAGGAACTTTATATCGTTTACACATTGTATAATGTGCAGTAACGCCAGTTGGAAAGTAATGAAAAACAACATATTTAAAGCTCCTATAAGGGGTTTTTGATGTTATTGAAATGGCCAAAGATTTACATTGATGCCTTTTCATCATATCTCCAAGTAAACAAGACCATCATTGACAAGAGTGACGATCTGTATCCTGTAATTTTTAGTGCCTGAAAACAGTGTAAGGTAGGGCTGGGCGATATGGCCTCAAATTAACATTATGGTATATTGATCAATTCACCTCGATAACAATAAATGGACGATAACTACTCCACAAGCTGTTCACTCCCTCCCACATTAACTTTGTCTACTTCAGCCGCCGCTCCAGCCGCTACAACTTTTGAACCGTCCTCCATCTCCTCACCTGTCTTTCCCTCTTTGTTACGGACTGGATGGGGTGGAGTCACGTCTCTGATGTAGGACAGCTTCTTAAAGGGACATGAGACCATAGCCTGCCTACACACATCCAAAACCAACTTTTATTTATTCATTTATTTGACACCAAGTATACCATTATGGGCTAATTGTCGTAAATTTTGGTATTGGTAAATTTTCCGTTTATCGCCCAGCCCTAGTGTGAGGGGGTAGATGTCAGCCTGGCAGCTGAAAAAGGCCTGTTTTCCCAATCTACATAAACTGAAACACGACCGTCAAAAACCAGCAGGATGACATTTAAGCTTTTACACAAAATAAGAAAATTAGCTTCCTCTCAGAAGCTTGAAGAAAATATATAATAGAATACAAATGAGAATAATGCTGTGAGCCATTTCTAAAAGAATCAAACAGAAAATATCAAATCATTGGGTCTGTTACATTTTAATTAAATAGATTGAATTTCATTGTACCAATGCAAACTGACGCAAGTGGATTTCATTCAGAAACCGCCACCATACACAACCAAGCGACCATTCATGCCAGCATGTGTCTGTGAATAAATATCAATCTGTTAATTGTCCCCTTTTAAAAAGAGAGTTGAGGCACTTTTGAGACTCAGACAGGCCTCAAACTCTCAATTTAAATTCCAAAGACAGAATAATAATAATAATGTTTTATTTGTTTGCATAAAAGTAAAAAACGAATCTGTCGGTGACATTACAATAACAAATCACTGCATTTAAACTTCTTTCTCTGGCAGCACTGAGGGCGGCTAAGGCTGTCTGCAGAAAAGAAAATACAATTTAGATTTAAAGCCCAGGAAAAAACATTTTCTCACAATTGAAATTCTTGTTTTTTTTATTGCGGGTCATAAATCAAATGCTTTTAAATTGCCATAACAACCTGTTATATATATGAAAATCACAGACCTTCAGTACAAACATCCACTCTCTCCATTTGCATTTTGTTTGCATGCACTGGATAGTTTTACTAGCTGCCTATTGAGATCATAGGTTGCTTTTACCTGCCCACCTGCCTATCTCAATGCACTCTGTCCTCAAACACTGTGTGCAAAGCTGGAGTCTCAGTAAGGTGAGACTGAGCTGTAGTTAGAGTAAACAAGCAATCTGCACAAAAACAGCCAAAAAAATGTGGTTGAATAAGGTTAACGTTGACAATGATGCATTGTGCTCCACTCCTGAAAACTCTCTTATTAGAGTTTTCTCTCCATCACTTAGGCGGTGCACGTTTGTGTGCTCTGGTCGAACCACTTTAGGAGAAAGTCTGAGCACAATGTCTGGTACTTTTGTTTGGTTTCGACTAAGACAAATCTAAGCTATTCTTGTTTCTTTGAAAGATGTCCACTGCTGCAGTAAATCAGATCACTTTGAAAAATGTTGCTGGTGACTCTTGGAAGAATTTGGCAACATGGCATGTCCTTACATCAGTCAGAAGTCTGCGTTTGCTACAGCTCTTTCGCAGTCCCGAATGTATTCTTTGCCACAATAATGGAGCCGAAAGCTAAAGGGTGACTCAAAGCCGGCTGCCATTAAACTGCCGGGAAAGAACAAAACCAAGGTTTCTGTGTAACAAATACTGGACTAAAACACAACAACGTCAGCCGTGATATGAACCATTGTTATCTCAAGATTCAAGACTGGTGTTAATCCATCTAGAGAGGAGGGCGAAACTGTTACAGTGGAGGCTACAAAACATCCATCCACCTGAGCAGAGACCCTAAATTTATAGCTCGAAAACATATTTTCTTCTTGCGAGAGTAAAACCATTTGTTTTGGTGAGTTCCTGACTTTTCCATTAGCCCTGCCATCAAGCCAAAGCCTTTTTCGGTCCACACTGTATAGCTTTTCTGTCATTTACTTGGTACCATGTTGTCAGTCAAAGTAATGCCTCTTGGCTACTTCTACTTCGAATTGTGTCACAGCTTGGTGGGGGTTTAAACTCTTTCCTGTTCTTCACAGGCATCGAAACAGGCCAAAGAGACTCTACTCTACATCTCTGTGCAGAATATTTCTGTTACAAAAGAATAAACACATCAATATTAATATTATTTGACTTGGCCTCAAAAGCTGTTTTGCTATCTTTATTTGATATGTTTATGGGCAATACGGCATTTATAGTGTTGTGCAACGGCTTTAAGAGGACTTCTGAGATGAGGGAGGTTTGCGTGAAGGAACCATTAATCTCAAAAGTCTCATAGTCAGCACTGTTTGACCTACGTTCTGTTTCAATCACTGTTATCAAAGGGAAAACACAGACTCTCAGTCTCAGGTGACGTCAAACCTCCCTCATTCAACAACCGAAACTGGTCTATGTGCTGGATTAACTCTGCGAGAGTTTGTGTGCGTGCGCGCGCTCGTAGAAGTCGCACGCACATATGGATGAAGAAGGCAGACAGGGCTTAGCTTGGAGATGACTACCTCATGCCGTTTCACATTTCCTGACCTCTCCTCAAAGCTTCATCCACTGGCAGCAGAGATCACTTCAGCTCAGAGCTCCCCTTGGTTTGTGTGTACCTTTCCTTCCATCACTCCTTTGTCTCTCACATGCCCTCAGTCTTTAGTATCGCCGTTTTTATTGTGGGGGAATCACCTTCTTTCATCTTCCCTGTATCTTCCACCCACTAATCAGTTTGTAATTAAAACGGGCATGGTTAATTTGGCAAATTATTGCACAGTGTGACACACCTGAGCTTGGGAAGCAGGAAAACAAAAACCCCAAACTGTGTACACACAAAGCTTTGGTTTCAATCAGAGTGCAGACCCTTGTTATGAATCATTTATAGACTTTTACAGCGGCAGAGAACAATCCAAGGCATTTACAAGCAACCGCAAATCTACACAGCGACTCGCGCACGCACACACAAACAAGCGCGCCGACTTTTTTATAGCTGTCACACTGCCTAGAGCGCCGCAGTGTCCAGGTGTTTCCAGGCCCCTGCAGCTGTTGACAGGAAAAGGATCTGTCCATCAGCGGGCGGTGGTATCCAAGCATGCGGCGGCAGCCAGCCTCAGGATCAGAGGTTACATGTTTGATGTCAGCTCCAGAGTAGAGGTCAAAACTCTGCTGAGGAGTAACGATGTGAGGGACTACATCGCCACATGCATGAGCCATTACTGGGAAAATCGAACATTGAGAGATGGTAGCTTTCACTTGCTACTGTAGCCGTTCAAGAAAGCACAATGCATACATGCCTTAGTTTGCAATATCGAGTGTAATCTTAAACACACAAAGCTCTCTGTTTATATCTTTCTCGAACCCGCACACGCAGAGTAAACCTGAACACGTGTGTGCAAAGTACAGTCGGAGACATTCCAGCTTTGACTGGTGAGCCAGACACCCTGAAGGAATGAGCACAGCACTGACGGTTGGTGGGGATTTAAGCTGCTGGGTGATTAAGACTGTTTTTCCTCTGCTCCATTGCTTTCTGCTATAAACGCGGCATTTACAGCAAATAAGTCAATGATACTCAAACCTAAACTATTGCACTTTGCAGAGCATTTCATCAGAAGTCTTTTCTCCCACCCCCCATTCTTTGTTTCCAGCAGATATCAGACGGCGAGTATCTTTGCGAGACCTCTGCAGCAAAAACACACAACAAAGAGTGAAATGATGACACAAGCTAACATAAAGACATGCTATGTATGTGTTCGTACGCTGTTACAAAATGTCTTGAACGTGCCCTTGTTGAGCAATGTTTGTTTTCCTATTTTCCCCTGCGTGTGATTTTTATGGATGTTAAGACCGCCATGGAGAAGTGAGCAGAGCAGATGGGCCATAAGTCGCTATAAGCAACGAACCATACAACAAAAAGTTCATGTACATGCATAAGTATTCCTGTAGCTGCTTCTGCTGAATTGTCGCACAATTCCACACATATTATGTTACAAATCTCATTGGCAGGAGCAGCCGAATAGGTTGAAACTCAGTGACCCAGTTTATGAGCAGAGGGCATAGTTGTCAAACACAAAGAGCATATGTTCACGTTGAGAATTGGCAGCAGTTTAGCTCAGCTTTGACATCAAATTTTCATGAGTTACTTTACTTAATTAGCAGTATGGGTCGGTTATGACTGTAGTTTTAAAAGAGTTTATTAAAGAGATAGTTTTTTTTAATGGGGTTATATGAGGTACTCGTCATTAGTGAGTGTATCACTCACAGGGGAAGCTCGGCTTTTTATTGAGAAATCCATGATTGGCAGATGGTCCCATTTCAGCTCAAATATAGCTAACTTTAAGAACAAAAGAAATTGGTGTAAGTGTAGGCGATGTGTAGAGATTTGCAGCACTTTACTCAAAGGGGGGGTATCATTCTTTTTAGCATTTACAAGAAAAACTACAAAGTTACAAAGTTTGGTGTCCATACTACATGTACTTAAAGCTTTAAATCGAGGTAAACATATGTTGTCATAATCTTAGAAAACAGATGTAAACTGTTCAAATCTTGGACAAACACGAAAATGTGCGAGATTTACTAAAATTCTGATCTAAGAGTTATAGATTCGCCTTACTGGTGCATCTGTGCTGAACGCAAAGTTGAACGGGCCGCCTCCATCAGTGTGTGAGTTGACACCCACAGCGGAGCCGGGTAACCATAGACACAAACATAGGGTGACCATATTCTGACCCCCCCCCCAAAAAGAGGACACGACTACCCGGGGGGCGAGGTCATAGAGTCACATCTAGTTAATTTTGCAAGTTTTTCGGGTCGGGTTGAATGTTTTTTTACGCGCTTCTAACTCAGTAAGTCCACGCGACACAAACTCAAAACTTCCATACGAAACCCCGAACATTTAAAGGATTCTATAAACTCCCAAAGACAAGGCTAGACAGGCTGGATAGCCCCCAAAAAAGAGGACATGTCTGGGTAAAAGAGATCGTATGCTCACCCTATACATATATGATGACTATGGGGGTTCAATGCTCCCCTGCTAAACTGGTCGACTACAATAGAAGGAGCAGGGCCAAAACATTGAGCTCTGCCTTTGGCTAGCTTTTGGAAAGCCTCTGTAGATTGAGCCAATCAGGAAAAAGTAGGCTTATTGAGGGGCGGCCTTAAAGAGACGGCAGCTAAAATGAAGTGTTTCAGACAAATAATGATTTTTTAATACACCACTTTGAGAAATTTGAGGCTTTTTTGATCTTAAAATCACGTAAAGGTATTAAAGAGGTATCAGAAAGGAACTATAGAGTCTAAAAAAAGCATAATACCTCCCCTTTTAAACACCAGAAAGCCCCTTTGTCTTTGTTTTTGTTCTTTTCCTGGATGCAACACATTAAGATTCCTCAACTGGAACTGTTTCACTCCAACACCTGTCTGCTAAAGGAAAGTCATCTACTTAACCTGTCCATTCTAGATACCTCTTTTTCAGTCTTTTCACCCTTACAGTCACAATATGAAAATGGAAAAAAACTGTATAATTCCTCTTAGTTTTACAAGTGAAGCTAATGCCAGAGCGCCTTATATCGCTGTCTGTCTTTTGATTCGCAGAAGGTCGCACAAATCATTGCAAAAATACTGCGCATTTCTGTGGAAGCCGATGAGAAAAATAATCTCTTTCTTGGTTATTATACTCCCTCAGTAAACACTGTCCAGCAGACGCCTTGAACTCAAAGCTCTGAAAAAAGCTCCCCAGCAGATAAGTGATGGCATGATGGCAGTCTAAGGTCATAATTACATGCTTTCAAAGGTGTTCAACAGTGATTTTCAGTACGTTTGAAACAGAATCTCATTTTCAAGCAAATTGTTGTAAAATAATGAGACCAGGGGAGCCAGGACTCCAATAACACACTTTTATAATTACGGTTTAGAGCGGTTTTAGATTGACTTTTGCCTCTTTAAGCATAGATGAAAAAAAAAGATATTTCATTGGAAAAGGGTGATATTATTACAAGCGTCTCTACACATTAATGAGTGTTTTATCGATCTGCTGAAAGGTATTCATCTAAAAGTTAAATGGATGTAATGGTAGCGAGACGTGCCTTGTTGAAGACGTTTGTTTCGTAAAAAAAAAAAGTTCAATGTTTAAGAAAAAAATGCTGGCTTAGGAATTGTTATTGCTGCTTTTTCTTTCAAATATTCACGTTATGAGAAGTAGGATTTGGATCACAGTCATCTGTGAACGCCAACTTCCAAGTTTGTGTGAAAAATGATCTGCGTGTCATCAGTGGACAAGTCAAGGGCAAGTTGCAGAGGGGAGGAAGGAAAAAAGAGTAACTCCATGACACGAGACGGCGTGTTTTTCCATCAAGATTAAACAGATATAGTGCCTAAGGCTGGTGCAAATTATCAAGACCGGCTGCACTTTAAACCCTGGTTTTCCTTTCCCAATGAGGATCAATCTTTCGCAACCTCCTGAATCATTCTGTTTTCCAAGCAACCAATCTGAAAACCCTTTATTGTGGTGAAAAGGACTGACAGATAAATTGTAAATTTATGGTGGATGAAGAGTGTTGCTTGTCCGTGGAAAGTTTGTGCCAGTTCGAGATTTAGCACCCGCTGCTGGAAACTCCACTGGCCTCTTCACAGACGACTTGAGGTGAAGTGAGGACCCTAAAACACAAATCTACAAGGGTACACACACGCTGTAACTTGACCTTCTCTGAACAAACCACACCGCAAGGACAGTCAAAAGATTGCTTGCTGAAGGCTGGCAAAACACCGGAGACATACAAACAAACCAGCAATTAAGGGTTTTCCCACTGCAATGTATTGACGTCTTTGAGAGGCAGCCTACAAATCATATCCACGCACAGATGCAAACACACATGCCCTGATAATCCCACGTCTGTTCACAAATTCTCACTTTACATCATCTGAGATGTCTAAACGGCTGCAGCCTACAAAGAATAGTCCTCTTTTTCACCATTTACTGCTTAAAAACTGTGCATCATAGACAAAATAATACTGTCTCATTAATCTAATAAATAAACAGTAGCCCCAGGTCATCGCATCCTCATACCGTGCCGCAGCTTTCCTCGTGTGTCTGTTAGCTTATGTGTGTGGGCGTGTGCATGTGGGTGTCTGACCTTTGAGGATGACCTCCAGCTCATCTCGTAAGATGTCAAAGGTGCTGTATCTCGAGCTGGTCTCGGGGATTATGTTCTTTTTCAGCCAGCCTCCACAGGCGTACTGGTAAAAGTTGTCACAAGGGTCCACGCTGGTATCCATGTTCTCAATGAGGCGAGACGCTGCACGGAAACAAAGGAGAAGAGGCTTCAGAACCGTATGATTGTTTGTCTTAAGCTACAGCCTAGAAAAGTGATAATTGGCAAAACAGAAAACAGGATCTGACTGGATACTTACATTCACCTTATGATACAAGCATTTAGTCTAGTTTGTGTGTTTTCCAGAGTTAAAGGTGGGGTAGGCAGGAATCCGTTTAAGAAGCATTTTTTTTTGTGGTGTATATACAAAAATGCTTTCAATATCAGTCAATAGCTGTTAGTTATTGATGACATTTGTAACGATATCATTGTGTTTTGTTATGTCTGTGTAGTCAACATTTTAAATTTTTTGAGCAGCCCGCTCTTTCTGACTGTAAACAAAGCCATTCTCCGCCTCTCCCAACCTGATTGTTTGTGAGGCGAACGCTGCTCCTTAGTGCTGATTGGTTGTGAGGCAGATGCTGTTCCCCCGTGTCATTCACAAGCCCAAACAAAGTTAGCGTTCTACAATATTGGACAGTGGAAACCAACCAGAAAGTACGGAAAATTGTCTGAATCCTCCTTTAACCATGACTGCCGACACAAGCAAGAAAATGAATACCAGAGACTCTGGCGGAATAATGGGCGCTTAAAAAGCCCAGCAAGAGCTAAAAAGCCGGGTCAACATAGCATAAATGATGGGGGACCCTGCAGGATCTTACAGACCCTGCTACCTTTCTGCTGGACAGGTAAACCGCTTTAACAAAGTAAACCAAGTGTCTGTAACAGAAGTGTTTCTTGTCAAATGGGACCTGATGCTCGTTGTAGCGCTGCTAAACTGTTGACCTCGGGTCCTGGACTATGTCACTTTATCCTAGTTGTAGAAGTCCTGCAAACATTGTGTTTGCTGGTAGTCTGTTGGCATCTACAGTAGCACCAATGCTTTCACTTTCAGTTTGACTGGGCCCCATTTGTAATTATCTGAAGTATTTATCTGCATTATATCTGAATTTAATTGGAACGATACGAGCGAGCAGGAGTGTCTGTTTGTGGGCGGGGCTTGCTTGAGCAGAGAGGGAGGGGAGAGGAGAAGCTGAGGGGAAAACTGGTTGGGAGGGATAGAGTTTACATTCAAGATTTCTTCCAAAACTGGCACTTCCTCAGATCCTGCCTACCCCACCTTTGAAAGAAGTGTATCTTTAAAGAGGGGTTGTGTGTTGGGAAGTTTTGCTAGCTAGCATCTTATCTTGTCATGTTTTTTAAGATAAGGTGACCAGATGTCCCCGATTTCCAGGGACAGTCCCCATATTGGATGACCTGTCCCCGGCTAAAGTTGACCCCAGAAATGTCCCAGATTTAAGCATTTCATGAATGAGAACAAAAATGTTGCGTGTAGACTAGAACAACAGTTAGTACGGTAGCTGAGTAGGTAGGAGTAAGCATGCCGCACGCAGTCCTGAACAACTGTTTTTACAGGGGGTTATTACGGGGGGCGTACACTGCCAGTAAGTAGTGCCAAGATGTTGTTTGTGGTCGTGCAGCCCATGATCCCCCCGCTCTGGATGTCCCCGTATTTCATTACAGAAATCTGGTCACCTTATTTTGAGACTGCCAAAAGTCACTCAGTTAGCCAAGAAGGCCACACAACCACTCCATAATAACAGTTTTAGTGTGATATTGGTCAAACTAGATTGTCATAAATGGGCTTGAATTGATCTTGATTTCTTGAAAGTGAGGGTTGGTGCCAAATTAGAGGCAGATAAGGTTAATATCAGAGTCATTACAGTATAATAACCAGACAGGAAAGAGTATAAGCAACAGTTCAAGTTTTTGCTGATAAGTCTCAGAAGAACATTCATGTCAAAGTAAAACTGTTGTATTCAGTTATGTAATGACTGGGTTTGATTGTTTTCAAGAGAAAGGAACTTAACAGGAGAGACGTATCAAGTTAACATCAGTGGTAGCTTGGCTTGCAGTCCCTAGGGAAGTTTTAGATCTTTGCTCGTACCACTGTAATGTTCAGCACTTTTCTGTATGTGGCACTTCTTTATTATTTGTAGCTCTGACAAATATAACAGTGTCAGCGGGAGCTTGGCACTTTTTATAGGGATTGTCACATAAATACATAGAGTACAACAGCTCGTCTTTGCCTCTCTCAAACACTCGCTGATAGTTATTTGAGTTTGTTTAATCAATTCTTGTATTTCTTATTGTTTTTACTTTGTTTGATTCATTCTATATTATTTCATTTTTATCTCTCTCATTTTTGTTGAATATATTTGACAAAGGCTGTAATTTTTTCTGTTTGTTCTATGAGAAGCACTTTGAGCCGCGCGCTCAGAAGCTTGAAGGCCGTTTTACAAATAAAGCTGGATTGAGCTGGGTCGGATTAGCGGCATCAATAAAACATCTGTTGTGGTAGCAAACATCTGAAACCTTTTGAGTGAAGGAAAAAAGTAAGTTGATGTTAAGGCTTCTGTTTTGGAGAAGGAAGGGTTAAGGTTTAGGCAAAAAGGGTAAATTATCAAAGTGGATCATTGCCGTTAAATCAAATGTACAAGATGCAGCTTTATTCGTGCAATCGGTTTAAAAAGCTAAAAGAGGTACTCTATTGCATTACAGTGTTTTACCCATAGAAACAAGCAGCTGCTTTGCTGCCAAAGCATGCTGAATACATAATGAGGAAGATGAGTCTTCCAGCACCACTTCTTAACAGCTTTTCTTCCTCATTTTCTCATAATCCTGCATTTAAAGAAAACAGCGGTAGACTCTGTAGAAATTAAATCTCTTGGCGTGCTGAAAATACTCCTCAATTAAAGACAACATATGACTACCAGGGGGGTTGTTGCGATACTTAGCGAATTAGGTGCAGGTAGTGGGTCTGTCCCATAGCTGATCTGAATTTACTCGTACAGTCCTTCTGTACCTTTAATACTTTCAGTACCATCATGGTTCTACCATGGTATGGGATAATAGGTCTTCCCTCCCATGCTTGCTCATCATACTTTACACTTTTGCACTCTGAAAAAAAAGACATTTTATATTTGGAATTTAAACTAGTTTAACTTCCTAATATAAGCTCTAGAGAGACAAAGGCTAAAGTTACACAAAGCCTCGAGCAAGCAGTGTGCCTTACTCACCAACGATGGGTGGACTTTACAAGCAACTCAGAGTTTTAGACATGCCATTTTTATTCTAAGACTACATTTGTTTTGTTCATATGAGAGCTAGGGCTGTCCCAATATACCCGTGTTGACAAAAACTATCTTTTTGAAGCATAAAAAAGAAGCATGTAATTTTGTGAGTTTGTAGGAGAAATCCTTCACACTCATTGAGATGACGGAAAAGAAGCAGCAGACATTTAAACTTTCGAACTGTTTTTTTTAACTGTTTTCATTGAGATCTGTAACTTACAATCTGCAGGAAATAGCTTACACTTCAAAATAAAAGCATGACAAATCGTTCATGAGGCAGTGTCTATTCCAAACACATTTCTGTCACCGGGCTGATATCCTGACAGCCTTGCAAGCTAAATACTATACTGTTGACTTGTTATCATCGTATTATTGTATTGTGAGATTTAGATACCCTTACATCCTTAGAATATCATATCCATGCATAGTGCGGTATCAGACAGTCCTGACACTGATATCCAGACTGGCACTTCTCTATGTCTCATTAGGATGCATTCTGGGTTCCTCCCTCTCAAGTTTTCTCGGCACTTTCAGCTTCGGAGATGACTGCAGGGTAGGCCCTGGAGTCATTGGAGAGATTTTTATATCTCACACACCTGACCCCGGATAAGTGGGAGAAAATGGCAAACTGGCTGTGAGGTATAAAAAGGTCCCAGATCAGCTCATAACCGCAGTCAACAAACTCCTTCAGATAACGTCTAACAACTTGGATTTGTTGAAACGCTGCAGCTTTAGACGTGCATTTCTTAATGGGTTTAAGCTGAAGACACATGTTCATACTCAGCGCTGAGCTCCTCTCGCACTGTTATTCAGAGGTGCTCTGAGGACAATAACCCATTGCGACACATTCCTGCTGATCATGACTGTTTGTTTGATCACTGTTTTGACTTAAGAGGCGACGCGTTCGCAGTTGAAGAGGCCATTTTCCTCAAAGCATGTCTGTATTCCCTTGGCTTCTGCTGCAGTCTCAATTTTCCCCCATCCTGTTCTCCTCTGAGAAAAATCAAAGCCATCAGAATGAGACAATAAAGAAAGCACAAAGAAGGAAACAAACAGTGCTTACCTGACTGCGTGCAGTCAGCTGTGGTGCAGATTTCATCTACGGGAAAATGCAGAACAAATCATCACTCAGAGGGATTTTTGCAGTCATCAGTCATCATGTCAAATGCTCATTCTCTCCGTTCCCCTTTTCCTTGATTTATTTCTGCATCTCATCCTTCATGCAAACAACTCTAAACTGCTTAGAAGTTCTCCTTTCCACCTGTCAGGGGTAATGTAGGCGCTTAACTCTTAATCAAACACAGTCTGACACATTCAGAAACACACGCACACACACACTGATCACTTGACAGGCATATGACCTTAGATACGCTGCGTCATGAGGTTCACACAGGTGAGTGAGCACACAGATGCAAACACTGACAAACAGATTAAGGATTTCATCATTTCCCTGACGCAGCGTTTTACATATTTATCAAAAACAAGACAGAATAGGATAATAACTCGACAAAAAGACACTTGCCTAATCCTGATATAACAGGAAGTATAATCAGAAATAAAGAGACTAAAGGTTGTTTTTTTGGTCGATTTTTGCTGAACTTCATGATTGTGACTTTAGTCAGTTGTTAATCCATAAATCTGGAGTGGGTAAACTGTTTATCATCTCTCTTAATGTCATACCATCAGATGACTTTCCTACATTGACTTGACAAGTTGAATCTTCTTGGTTCAATAGGCAAGAAAAGCAGCAGTCCCAATGTTAATGATTAGAAACCCCATGGGACACTCATATGTGACATTGATCTGAAGCAAGTTCGATCAGTTCCCCGTGGCGAAGAAAGACGGGGAAATGATCCCATTTCTCATTATGTGGCATTTGCAGCAAGATTTGAGAGTCGTGGTTTGCACAGGAGTCTGAAATGTGAAATATCACAGTGTTTGGAGTTACACGCTGTTGCTGAGAACACAGAGGAAACCGTAAAAAAAGAACCTTTGCACGCTGTTTTTCTTCTTTCTGGCTCAGCAGTTGTACTTTTGCACTTTGCTTTAAAAGCACACAGCTTGAGTGTCTGTCTTCTTTTCAATTGCTGTGAAACCATTAACCATGAACTGAGCTGTAAGTGACAGTCAAGTTATGGACACGGTTTGAAGACGGTGAGCTTTATAACTTATGAGAGGTTCACTTAAAACTGTGGCGGCAGGAGGGAAGTAAAGATTGTCTCCGTGCTCACTGGCTCCTAAAATAGGTTTTTAATTACATGATACAACTTTTTGGATCCCCCTGTTTTTTTGTCACAGTCTGATGAGGATTTTTTAAATAAGGATCCACTGGGGTTTCAGATATTCATCCGCCATCCTTTCTTTCTTTCTTTAACACTCACCGGTTTTCTGCGTGGCGAAAAGGATGATGAGGGCGACAATAACGATGAAGAGCAAGGACACGATGGTAATTAGGCCGATCTCTAGAGAGGTCCAGCGGGGCTTTTTAGCCGACTTGGGGGGGTTAGTCTCTGTCATTCTCAGGTCTCCTCCTTCAGCTGCCGACTGTATCAACTCACCTGAGGAAGAAGGGAGAATTGGAAGAGGTTGAGGAAATGAAGGGGTAGATTAGCTGCTGACGGAAGTAATCCAAGCTTGCACTGAAAATCAGAAAAATAGGACTGGGTGACACGTTATTTAAAGTGTGAATCATCTCTCTGGACTGACTTTGAACCGAGGAATCTGCACCATCTAAAGAATTTGTGCATTTGACCTTTCCCTGAAAAATCTCACCACGTCAGCAGCATTTAAAAAATCCAATTCTGAATATCCATTTATCTTTGCACTCGTCAGTCAAAAATGTCAAATACACGCTGGCTGCAGCCCCTCAAATGGGAGGACTTCTTCACACTTTGGCAACACATCAGCTGCAGCAGAGATTTATTAATTTGGACAACGAAAAAAACAAACATTCTGTCAGGCGTAAAGATTTTTAGGGCATCAGCTGAGAGGAGAAAATACAAAGGGAAAGTGAGATAAAAGGCACACTGCAGTGATAAGAAAACAAATGCAAAAAAAAGACTCACAGTATTTTCTGAACCAGTCTTGGAGCAAAAGGTGAGAACAATGGAAGTTCTTAGCCTCTGGTGGCGAAGCGGAAAAAAAAAGAAAAAAACAAGTAACACACACTTCTGAGGGACAGAAACAAAGACAGACCTTCCCTCTGCTTCTCACTCGACACTGTTGTTTTCCTCTCTGGGGCCAAGTGAGAACTTTACAAAGTTCATGTAACAAGCAGTTAAATCTATCTCTAAAGGCAATTAATCCTTAATCCCTTACCGACACACACACACACAGTCACGCCCCCACACACACGTTTACAAGCTGGTGTCATGAGGCGCCTGTGCAGATGGGTGGGACTCACAGCATGCTGGCGGAGATGAGAGCATCACCCCGACCAAAGGACACAGCCTGTTGGCTTCCTTTGAACGAGGACACACACACACACACACACACACATAAACAAATCCTCACACACATGAACACAGCTCCTCTTGAATGTCAATCCCCCAAGATTCTTCTTCATGACTAAACAACGGTCTAATGTAAACTCCCTCAGGTAACAGTCATTATCCAGCCCGGTAATTGGCCATTACTGCATGCTCCATACACAACACACTGCTCTCCTTGCTCCACACCAGCATTACAGCATGCATGACTTCACTACAGGTCATTAGATCCACCAAAAGAAAGTGGCGGCCTTATCCCGGGTAATAGATACGCAATGTTGTGCCTGTGACTTATGTTCTTCCACGAGAGACGTTAAGTCAACTCAAAACACAGCAGGATAAGTTGAGTGGTGGCATAAAAGGAGGAATTAATGAGACAGAGGAAAGACACAAGTTGATATGTTAATCACAACTTCCTGTCAACCTATCACCAGCTGCAAGAGAGGCCAAAAACTTTAACTTTTTTTTTTTCCCTCGCCTATCCTGTGAGCAAACACATCACCGTGACAGCCATCCCACAGCTCCAATAAAACCCTGTGTGTGTGTATGTCAGCATTGTAGAGGCAGTACAATATATTTCCTCGCTGTTATACTGACACGTTGCATTCCAAAAATATGAAGCTTCTGTGAAATTTATAGAAAAAGGAAAAGGGACATAAAGATGAAGTTGAGGAATGTGCTAAAAGAGGGAGAAGGAGGGGAGGCGGTTAGCCATAAAAACAAAGAGGAACACTGAGAGGTCCTAAATCATGTTAGTGTGTTCTGCTCTGAGGTCTGGGGTATTTTAGGTCTATGAATCTCATTAAACAATAACTGCATATCACTTAAAAGCACTTTCCATAACTCATAATGCTAAGTGACATGCTGTTCGACAAACCCAGCGAGCCCCAAACGGGTTTTTTAGAGCTGGAATCTGGTGGAAAATCAGAACTGGACATCCATGGCCTGATTTCAACCAGCGAAAGTATGCTCACATCATCATTGTGTCTGAAAACACATTTTTGTCTTTTAAAATGATGATAAGTTGTTCTTTCAAGGGTGATAAGAGCACTGCAATCATTTTTACAAAGGTTTCGCTTCCAAGTAATTTTTTCCAGCGGTAAATTCAGTCCCATCTGTGCAGGGATAGAACTTAAATGCATGATTTTTTTTTCTGCAGGTGCTATAAACGCAGGATTTTATAGGTAGTGTGATGATAACAAGAAGGCTTAGAGATATGGCACAAAAAAGAGCATTATTCCCCTCAAAAGCAGATAAAAGGAGAGTGTGCTTCAGCTCAGAGGTATACGACCCCTGTATGCTGACATAGTTGATTAAAACTTGGCAAACAGTGATAACAAGGGGAGCCAGGTAGAGCTGGTAGCAATAACTGGCTGACGGTTATGCAGTGAGTGTTGAGTGTGCATCCTCCTGCCCTCATTTTAGCTTTTTGTTGGCGACTGTAATGCACTGTTTTTCGCTGAGTGTACCTTAAAAATGGCTGTCAAATAAGTGCAGGATTAACGTTTACTTTTCACCCTGGTAGCCATAGAAACCTTTTCGATATGTGTTCATAGTCATCATGTGCGTTGGATCATTTATTATCATTCCACATGTGCACATGCAGTCAATCCTCATTAAAAACCCCTGTAGGAAACTTTCAGTTTGTGTTTGGCGCCCCCTGTGGACAAAGTGTTTTGTCACATCTGAGTCATGCTTTGCTTTCTTTCCAATGAATCACTCCTTTTTTTAATTCTCGCAGTGGATGAAGGACAAAACAGAGGGTTTCTTTTCTCCAGTTGTGTGATTTAGAGGCTGTAGACTCTTTTGTGCCAAAATTGAGAGTAAATCTAAAAACAGTGCCTCTCCGGTTTGTACTATCTGCTTTTTTTATTCGGTCCTATAACTTACAATCTACCAGAAATAGTGCATCCTCCAAATTAAAAGCATGTTTTGAAAGTAAAGAGATTAAAGAAAGCTCCAGGCGCAACTGTAAAAATGTCAAAATAAAAGCATCACACTCAGTTTTATGGGACAGTCTCTTTTCCTGAGAAGTTTCTGTCAAAGCGCTGCCAACGGGGAAAATATATAACTTTGAGCATAAAAATGAAAGCTGACAGTGAGCGAAGTCGAGTGCCTTTATTAGCGAAGTTTATGAAGAAACACTTGACTTGTATTTCTTTAATCTGACTAATTGTGTTGGATTTTCTTTTCTCCAAGTATTCTGATATTGTGAATGGATTTCATTTCTTTTTGGCCTCGATAAGTGAAGGACGAAAAGGGGACATCATGAGCAGAGATGAAAAATTACAGCATGGGGGATATGATCAATCTTTTGTCAATGGTCAAATGTTCCTTTATGGGTCATAAAGTATCATCTCTGTTCATTTTAGTCCGTTATAAAACTTTTAAAAGTTTCAAGTTATCTGAATGTTTCGGGGTTAAACCTTTCTTGCATAACACTGACACCTTAAAGGGGTGAAATGACGTCTTTTTGACTAAACCGTGTTCTCTTTTGTTGCTATTGTTACTGTTCTTGTTGCATGTCGTACTCACAGTCCGAACTTTTGACATTGTGACTCTGCTGTTCCCTCTGAGTGCTCTCAAAGTCGTGCTGCCATGCCCCCGCATGTTAAAGACAAGGACCACCAAAGTCAAAGCCCTCCTTCTTGTTTTTGCTACTCTCTGTCTGACCGTCATGATATATCTAAAAGCATAAAAATGTCCCCATGTCTTCTGAGACCTCACAAATGCCTCCAAAATTAAACCCATCATTCACCGGGACACCTGAAAAACACACGTGTCAGCACGCACACACACACGCATACACTCGACTCAATGGGAAACCGCTTGCAGGGAGTCACTCTTTTTAACAACCTACATCCATGTGAGCTATGAACATGCCATGTACCTAATTGAGTTTGAATAAGTGCAGGAATGTGGCCTACTTTAACTTAAAATAACACCTTCAGTGGGACATCTCTTTCAGCATGGGGCCTACAGCTGCACACGCCGAAGACTAGAATTGCTTTAGGATCATTTTTTGTGAGAGGAGACTTGATGCCCAAAGGTGCTGTAATCTGGCTGGGGTGAAGTCTACCTCTTAAATTGCTTTCCATCGCTTTATTGGATAGCAGCATGATTGGAATAGAAAGAATTAACTTTTAAAGGGGGCATTGGAGCTCTAAACGTTCTCCTTGCCAAAGCAGCTGGAAAACAGGGGACAAAAACAAATGGGATAAGGACAGTTAGTTGGGAAAATAAAACTTAAGATAGGCTGCAGCAGCACACACACACGCGCACGCACACACACAACATGCGGTCATCTGCAACTGAGCAAGACGCAGTTCAATACATGCCAGCTCCTCATCTCCTGTTGCACGTCGGGAATTCCAAGGGGGGGTGACATGATCAACTGGTGCACGCTGCCCCGGCCCGTGTCGCCAAGCCGGCACGCGCATACGCAAAAAATAGTGCACTGGCGCGCGCGGGCTCACACACACACACACACACACACACACACACACACACACACACACACACACACACACACACACACACACACACTCAAACACATTAGAGTGGAAAAAACGCGCACAGATGGCACAGCGTTATAAGAAGCGCTCGGGCTGCGTGAACGACTTACCAGATGTGTCGGGAAATTTTCGGTCGATGATATATATGGGCATCCCATCCACTGATCAAACATCCATCAATTCCTCAAAGGGAGCGCGAAGTGCTGATCGATCTGCTCCTGACTGTCTATCTGCTTCACCCTGGATTTCAGCAAAGGCACACACCGATCCCGCCTCTCTCCTTCTTCTCTCCTTCTTCTCTCCTTCTTCCTTTGGATTTCTATTCTAGGAGTGCACATTCACACGCACACACTCACTCACTCACTCACACACTCACGCACACACCATTCACTACAACTATCTATTATACTGTACCTCATCTACCCACTGAGGATCGCAGAATTCAAATGAGCCATCAGACTCTTGCGCGGCGCAATTGGTCAAGTGTGTGATCCACAGAGGGGGGGTCCCATTTTATAGAGCCTATGACATGTAGCCGAGCGGTGAATCAGCCCTCTGAAGTTCCCTGTCCGCCGAACCTCCTCCGTCAGGGCGGCGTTGAGAAGTGACCCTGTCAGCGGCACTTGCTGTCAGCAGCGTCTGAGAAGCTCCAGGGCGCACGTTCAGGTGAACAGTGTGATGGGCTGACGTCTCATATATTTCACTGTACTTACTTTTAAGGCTGGCAGAAGTTCATTCGGTGAAACCGCTGTTCCAGTCCTCTTCATAGAGCTGCGGGAAACTACACTGATATAGAAATCAGAGCATTTATGATAAATTCTGCAGATAACCCCCATACGAAAGAAATGGTTTGGATCTTGAAACCACCGTAATTATTTTTTAATCGGTTGTGCAAAAGATCGAAATGAACAATGATGTTTTTTTAAGACTTGCAAAAATACATATGAGGATTTTTATGACTTTTTTTTGTCAGGGGTGGCCAAACTGGGGCATTGACTTTCATAGGGGTGGCCAAGGCTAGAGCAATCACAATCCACTATTTTTGACTCGTATAACAAACAAATAAAAAAAATGCCATTTACTTGGATATAATTTTAACTTTTAAATGTAACTCACCAGGCAGGCTACAGTTAAAGGGATATTCCAGCGTAAAATTAATTTTGGGTCAAACACACTGTTACATGCAGATAGCAATACAGAGAGCCAAGCACTCAAAGCAAAACGCCACTCTATAGCCACAAATAATGCTCAGAACAGCACCGAACTTCATCAACAGTACATATAGGGTCCCAGCCATAGCACTAGCTACCAAGCATCTTTTTAGCTTTGCCTAATTTCTTTAGCAAAGATACTAAACACAACTCACCTACTCTCTTCCAGCAGTCGCTTGTTTGTAGTGAGATCTCTGGCCAGTCCATCATGGACTACAGCGGGGTGACGCAGCTCAAGGAAGAACAATTATGATCATTTCTTCAACGAAATGCAATCAGACCGAGACGGTTAGGCAGAAGAACTACCGCGTCTGCAGTGCAAAATGATTCAAATGCTGACTATTACTTCAAGGAAATTATAAAGTAATGATCATAAATGTTCTTCCTTGAGCTGCGTCACCCCGGAGCAGGCTGTAATGGACTTGCCTGAGGTCTCGCTACAAACAAGCGGCTACTGGAAGAGAGTAGGTGAATTTTGTTTTGTCTCTTTGCTGAGGAAATCAGACAAAGTTAAAAAGTTTGGTGGCTAGTGCTGTGGCTAGGACCCTATATGTACTGTTGATGAAGTTAGGTGCTGTTTTGAACATTATTTGTGGCTATAGAGTGGCGTTTTGGTTGAGGTTTGTTTATGACTCCTCAGACTGCTGTGTATTGCTATCCTGCAGTTGTTACTAAATTTGGTACTAGAGATGCAAGCGATTGGGAACATTCATCTCTCGACAGAGATGTCTAACTTGGTGTTGCGGTGTCTTTGACCCTTTAAATGTAACTCAACAGACAGGCTTCAGTTAAATCTTCTGAATCTACTTCTTTATGGACTTAGAGGATGCTGGTCTCAGGGAACTTCCACCAAATCCATGGTCGGTCCGTCTCCACTCCACCAGCAAAGCTGATAGGCATACGTGCTTTCACAGGCTTCGCTGGCTTTCTGCCCCCGTATCAGCTCAGGCAACACCAACAAAACATCTGCAAATCCAGCTCTAAAGTCAACAGCCAAGAGGATTTAAGGGCAAATGACAACAACATGGACGAGAAGCTCATAAAAAACTATTGATCCTGTATTTGATGTAGAAAATCCTCGGTCTTACCACTCTAGCAGCCAGCGGTGCTGCTCCTTACTGCACTTTGAAAACTCAGTTGGTGGATGTTATCCGACCAGGGGGCAAAAACCCAAACTGTAGAAGAGCAGAGATGGACAGAACATGGATCTGGTAGAAGTTGGGTTTTTACAGTAGTCAACAAAAGAAAAATCGTCATAATGAAATGTGAAGAAGCAACTGTGGCTCGTACACTTCTTTCAGATATACAACCTTCCTTCAAAAATACTGAAATATCCCTTTAATTAAAGCCCAATGTGTTGATTTCAATATAAGCACAAATTCTAACAGCAAATTGGCAATTACAGTTTCAATTTCTAGGTGTCTCTTGGGTGGCCAATCACATTCTAGGGTGGCCATGGCCCCACTTATACACCCCTAAACCCCGTAACTGTGAACACTACACTTTTTACTGCCTGTAGCAGCTGCAAGGGTTAGACCAGATGACTGACAGCATGCTGAAGAAACTGATTTTATTTTACATTTCCAGAAGCACATATTTGCTGTTAGTGGTCAATATTTAAAACGCAGCGGGATCAGATTTTAGATTTGGGAATTACTATCTTGGCTTTTACAGGGAAACATCACTGATAAGGTGAAAACTCCGACCATGGGGAATTTTAAAATCATCGTAAACAAAAATTTATCAGAGCAACTTTAATTGATTATTTTTACTGTGAATTTGTGGACACAGTGGGCCTCCTGTGATGTTATCCTATCTTAACAAGAATTTACTGTTTTTTTTCTTTGCAAGTTTTTTGCTTGATTGAATTTTGTGTTTGTAAGTTTTCAATTGTTTTCCCAACATCTCAGCTTATGCGTTTTGGTGCATGTTAGCATATAAAAGCTGGTATACTTTTCATCTTAAGAATAAAACAATTAACCGGAAACTATAATAGGTTAAACTGTGACATGACATGCTGCCACTGCCAAAGAAAGAAAGGAAGCAAAGCCTATTTCTGTTTGTTCTTGCAACTCCAGGGATATGAGTTATGATCATTTGACATTTAGTCCAGCTCCCTCGATAACAACTGAACTTAAGTCATTCTCACGGGTTAGCTGAGCAAATAAATATAAATGCATGTCATTTACTGTACAACAACCAAAACATTTCATGATGTCTTTTTCCCCCTTTTTTATTTTCTGTTTTGTTTTTGAGTTTTTCTGCCATTGATTATTTTTCCCTCAAGGTCCCGGCCCTAATTTGCAGACAGCCCCTCATCCTCTCATATTGCACACAACATATTTCAACCTCTAATTGAATGTGTGACTATGAGGCCTGACAGTGCCGAATAGTGCAGTTTTAACAGTCTGAAGCATAGTCAGTAATTGATTTAACTGCCAAAAGTATAAAATGGAAGTGGCTAGTTAAGCATGTCGCATAAAGTCCAGATGTAACGCTGGTGAGAACAGCTGGGCAAAGTTTTACAGTTAACCTGTTAGTATCTTGTTCATGTTAAATTCAGCTGCTAAGTCGTAGTATGTGATGAATCATGATACATATATACAGAGAGTGCGAATTTCAGACATCTGTTTCTGCTTTTCTCTTGGATTTCACGGCTGAAATGTCTTAAGAGGGCTCATAAATAGACAGTAAAGTCCTGAAAACCTGCAGAAACACTTACATTGTTTCTTTTGACATTCATATCCCCCACGCCTAGGGGTTCCTTACTGCTACACACAACTGTTTTGACATAACAACTCTTGTCAGTCATGCGTCATGTCACCAGTCATGAAAGCACTGTTGAAACGATCAGAGTGAGCTGGTTTCGTCAGTTCTGACAGAGGTTGGAAGGCCACGAACCGAGAGGGGAAAGCAACACTTTATAAGGCATGTGATTCATCAGCTGTAACACCTGCTTTTCTCTGATCTGAATTGCTCTGATCCACTTATGGTTATTTTTAGCATACACACATGTAATGATAAGGAGACAGGGCTAAGTATAGTCCAATAAAAACCCTTTCACTTTGATGCATTCGTGGTGCTTTTCGAGTTACGTGTGGCCTCTTCACGGCCTCCTTAATGTTGATCACTAAAGTTCATCAGGGGGTCACTTCTGTAAGAGCAATTAGCTTAGCAAACACAAGATGGTGTAGGGTCTAAAAGAGAAAATTAGCATTAAAGTGAGAAGAAAGCAAATAGAGTGATTCACTGCAGAGAATGAATGACCTCATTTCAGTATGTGCAGGGGAATTTATCAGATGAGAATTTGATGTCATCTGTTAACTGTGACTTATCTCACGCTTCTACACTCAGCTGCGGTTGCTGATAAAGATACACGTTTACGTACTTTGTGTTTAAAGCGCTCTCCACGTTCGAGCAATCATTCCTCCAATCTTAATGTCCACAGGTCAGTTATTCCTACCCTTCAACACGACCCACAGCAGCATTTCATAGATGCGCACATTGGGACATCGTCATACATGAACAACAGTTTAAGTCCCAGTGGCAAACATGGAATAAGTGACCAATTAAGCCCCTTTTACACAGCCTGTTCAAGACCAGACTTTTGCACCTTATTAGAGCTTCTGAGTAAAAGATACAAAAGTTGAATTTGGAGACAAGTTGACTCACAACTTACCTGACGATCGAGGTATTAGACATAACAGAAGTGTGAATTTTGATGTAAATAGGATTGAAGTAGGGAGCCGCATCATTTCACCAACTCCAAGGATTGAAGAAAACAAGCCTAGATATATTGTAGACCTTTAACTTTTTACTTGAAGCTTCGACACTGTTCATTTCAAATAAAAAAATAAACATGTTCTCAACCTAGTACTGAGATGTTTTCAGTCTCGTTGTGAGTTAGTTGAATCCAGCATTATCAAGAGGGCGAACACGATCCAGGGTTTTCATAACACCTCTTATGCAGTATGTTGCCACTGAGACTTAACCAAAGTTTTATTCAGTATTATTATTAGTTTAGTGTAAAAGGCAAAAAAGTGGCGAAACGTAGTAGCTTCAGTGTCATGCTGTTGAGAAACCTCTACGGAAAAAGGGCTGAGTGAACAGTTTGATTCAGGAGTTTGGAAGAAGCTGACAAGTTAAGTTAAAATACATTTGTTAAGTCAAGTTTAGAATATAGTGTGCAATAAGTGTACAATATACAGGATGTGACATGTTCTTCTGGATTCAAATCTATCCTTTCCACTGCGTCTGGAATGGCTCCAATATGGAACAGCAGTGATTTTCGCCAATTCCTATCAGATCCGTTTGTGAGGCGAAATTCGTGGCAGATTACAGACAGCGGGAATCGCGAGAACTCACAAGAACCCGCAGATTCACATGCAATCGCGCGATAACAAGTTGTCTCTAACCAAATATGCAGTAGATTGTGTCCTTCCAGAGGAGGAAATCCACTTCTAGACTTTTAGAATCAGCATCTCCTCATTCATGGTGTCATCGGGGTGAAACTCTGTCTATAAAGCTTTCACTTGTTCATCCCCGCCAGTTTGCATGGCGTAAAATACGATCTGCCTGAAACACTGTTTTTTTTTTTAAAAGAAGCCGGATGTTTTGTTTTGTGTCTGTGCCCGACTTCCTTCTAACACGGATTAATTTGTGCTGAATTTATCTGGCATGCTCCGGCGTCTGGAAAACATAGAACTCTTGCGATCAGCTGCAGAGTCCAGCGATCTGCAGCGGAACGGAAAGAAGCCGGTGGAAACTGACACATTAACTTGAATGGTTACGATCAGATACGATCGGCGGAAACAGCCTTTTTGTAGCCGTTACAGATGCGGTGGAAATTAGGGGTTAATGTCTAACCTGTTCATTGACCTTCAAGTACGAAGAAAGTTGGATATTCATCTCTAATACCACAAACAGTTCTCGCCACACAAAGCCTTTTTCATACCCCCATATTAAAAGTTCAGTTGTCAATTATCTCCTTGAAACTTAAAAGATAAATAATTATTTTAGCCCATTTTAATGTCTCCCTGTCATACCATCCATGTTTCATTGCTTTTTATAATGAACAGGCTGATTCCCCTCTGAGGAATTTCCATCTGTGTGCATATCTTTTGAATCTCTGTGAAGCTGAAATGACAGCAGTTTTCACACTAGCTGCCTTTCAGTGCTTCAAAAAGATGTTCACATTTGCCAGCAGTACAACCTCTGTGATCATATTTTCCACCGTTTTGTTGCAGTGCTCTTCAAATAAAACCCCTCACCCCTTCTCTGTTGGCCATTTGAGCTCTGTTCGCTGTCAGTAAACCAGCATGTTATGGACTCCTGGAGAGTATTGGATTTTAATTGCGCTGAGCCCAGGGTGACATGGGTATTAAACAGTCTTTTGTTGAAAAATGGGTGTGAAAGCGCGGACGCAAATGCACAAACTCACGTGTATTCTGGGTTTTTCTTTATTTCCTGCAGTATCCCTCAATGAAACCGGTTTGTGCCAAGATACACACATTCACGCGTGTGTCATGCAGCAACGTGTTTATTGCGTCAGAAATATTTATATGGTTTTCTAATTCCAGGATGTGACTTCCATGGAATGTAAGTTTCACAAGAAGGAACTTTTCTGCGTTACTCAAGTTGTGATTCATTATGCGACTTGATTGACAGCATTCTGGTTTTGCTATCAAATAACATCAGCTGTTCACTACCACCTTCCAAGACATGAATAATGTGTTCCAGAGAACTGATACTGCAAGGAAGCAAACACCATGACTAATAAGGAGTTCTGCATTTGCTCTACATATGTTTATGAATCACACACAACAGCGAGTTTGTCACACACTCATGTAGCCATTCTGCTTCTCGTGTTTAATTGTCGAGCGGAAGTGTTTCTCAGCAGGAGAGACTTAAACGTCTTGTCTTGCAGAATCTATGTTAAGATCTTTTAGTTTGATCAAGGTCACTCAGATGGGTTGTTCTGTCCTCCTTCGCAAACTGTCAGGGGAGTTTCTCTCCTATCAGCAACAGACGGGCTGTCCGGTTCTGCTAAAAGTCTGCTGTCACAAAAACACACCCGCACACACACATAATCTAGCGCGCAAACACCCACACAGGCAGGGACGCGGATAAACTACACACACATTAATAACCTCTCTGCTGTCACTCCGAGACAGGGGCTTTCAGACTTAGGTTTGAGCTGGTCATGAGGCAGCAAAAAGAGGAACAGAGAGACGGCCAGAGAGATAAGATGGGGAAAACGGTTAAAAGTGCCAACTTAGCCAATATTTCCCAACGCACGCGGACAGCTTTGAGGTGCTTTTTTATTAGGTTTTGTTATCTATGAGCCATTGGAGCGGAGAATAACGCTCGGAGTGTGTTCAAAAACAGACCTGGATTCTGATAACTGAGGTCAGCTGTTGTTCCTCACAAGACTGTAACACGATATTACCACTTTTCATCTTCACTACAGTAGTTCATGTGACAATGAGTGGAATATAATCTGTGATAAGATGTTAGCCAAAGTGTGCAGACAAGAAGCAGCATGCACAGGTCATTCTCACTTGAAAGGATGTTGCATCCTGCTGCAGTAATTCCCAAGAGAGTACGGTTCGGTCCACACGTATACAGATGTTTCTAAAAACAGACATTTTTCTCTCGGTTTTCAAAAACTCCTGTCCACACTGGAGGTATTTTGAATATTTATGTCCACATCACAACACAGAAACGACACACATATGCATTTTAGACCCAGAGGTGATGATAACATGTCACATCAAAAGGCCAGAGAAGAGCACAGTGCACGTGAAGCGCAACGAAGGCTGGTGGAAAATATTTTCAGTGGGGCTGAGGTGACAATACATTTCTCTGCCGTATCCATTATAAGAATTCAAATCAACAGTCAGGCTACCTCAATTCAGCAATAATGATTTAATCTCCTTAAAATTGCCAGTTTCATAAATCAAGAACAGTTTTCAGTTGTATACAGTTCCATTCATGCTTTAGAAATAAAGGATAATATAGTTTTCTACTTCCTGAGAGACCTTACAGCATGATTTTCAGAAAAGTGCATTTGCTGATCCACATCCTGCCAGCCATGATTTGCGCTCGAACCAACTCCTGTAAAAACTCTGGTTGTAGAATTTATGTTCCTCCTTGGTCTGCAAGCTGATGACAAGGTCGAGCTTGTCCAGTACAAGCTCCTTCACTCGGATTTTCTCCTCCATTGTCTGTCTAGCAACAAATTTGGTTGAAGCTGCTCCCCCCTCGTTGAGTTCGCCATCACCGTAGCAACTGCGCTAGCTTAATTAGTCGTGTGCACAGGCTTCTCTCCCTCCTTTCCCTGCCCCTAAAAATCTCTCGACACTTTTGGCCACAAGGGCGATATTTTTAGCACCTCAAGACCATAAAATTCTGCTATGCTGATTGGCCAAAGATTTATAAATGTTACCTGGCAACTGTACACAATTGGTTATTTCATCGCAGTGCTGGAGCAATCTGACCGAGCACCCCGTGAAAGAATCAATACAAGTCTGTCAGTGGAAATTCAATGGTAAATGAATAATAGATGGTGGGGAATGTAGTTTAAATGATTAGTATTGCAAGTGGCCCCACAATAGTTGATAAAAACATCTTTATTGTCAAAATACACTCACCGGCCACTTTATTAGGTACACCATGCTAGTAACGGGTTGGACCCCCTTTTGCCTTCGGAACTGCCTCAATTCTTCGTGGCATAGATTCAACAAGGTGCTGGAA